CAACCAGGGCTCTAAATGTAAGGGTTCATTTCTGGACTTTCAATTGACCTATATGTCTATCTTTATGCCAGTACTACACTGTATTGATTATCTTAGTACTCAGTTTTGAAATCAGAAAGTGTAAGCCCTCCAACCTTATTCGTTTCCAGGATTGTTTTGGCTATTCTGGGTCCTTTGCATTTCCATATGAATTTTAGGATCAGCTTGCCAATTTTTGCCAAAAAAAAAAGAAAAGAAAAGAAAAAGGAGTAGGGATTGTGTTGAATCTCTAGAACAGTAGTCGCCAAACTGGCTCGTGAGCCACATGTGGCTCTTTGACCCCTTGAATGTGGCTCTTCCACAAAATACCACGTGTGGGCGAGCATGTATAGTGCGACTGAAACTTTGCGGCCCATGCACAGAAGTCGGTATTTTGTGGAAGAGCCACACTCAAGGGGCCAAAGAGCCGCATATGGCTCGCGAGCCGCAGTTTGCTGACCACTGCTCCAGACCAACTGAGGAGTATTGCCATTTTAATAATTTTAGTCTTCTGATCCATGAATATGTGATGCGTTCCTTTGTTTAGGTCAGTGGTTCTCAGCCTTCCTAATGCCGCGACCCTTTAATACAGTTCCTCATGTTGTGGTGACCCCCAACCATAAAATTATTTTCCTTGCTACTTCATAACTCTAATTCTGCTACTCTTATGAATCATATTGTAAATATCTGATATGCAGAATGTATTTTCATTGTGACAAATTGAACACAATTAAAGCATAGTGATTAATCACAAAAACAATATGTAATTATATATGTGTTTTCCGATGGTCTTAGGTGATCCCTGTGAAAGGCTTGTTCGACCCTCAGAGGGGTCACGACCCACAGGTTGAGAACCGCTGGTTTAGGTCTTTAATTTCTTTCAGCAATGTTTTATAGTTTTTAGTGTATACATTTTGATATGTAAATTAAACCTCAATAAAGCTGTTAATTTTTTTAATGTTTTAAAATGGTCATATCTACCCCTAGCATCAAGATTGTGGCCTCCAAATCCCACTTCCCACTAAAAGAAACCAGGACTTCTTGGAGAAATTATTGATTCCAGGCCTAGAGCCAAAGATATGTGAGATGAGCCTGGAACATATTGCCACTCTAGGGAGCAAAGATTATCAGGGTGATGTCAACAAGTCTCAAAAGCAAATTTGAAGGGACTCCTGGCCAAAAATGAGACATTTTGCACAATAAGGAAAATAATTGCAATCAATTGAAATACATCAAATATGTTTAAATCTCACCCTGGCTGGTCTGACTCAGTGAATAGAGTGTAGGCTTGCGGACCAAAGGGTCCTGGGTTCGGTTTAGGACAAGGGTACGTACCTTGTTGCAGTATCCTCCCTGGCCCGGGCCCTCGTCAGGACTGGTGCAGGAGGAAACCAATCAATGTGTTTCTTTCTGGCTTTTCCTCTCTCTTCCACTCTCCCAAAAAACAATGAAAAAATATCCTTGGGTAAGGATTAACAAAAAACAAAACAAAACAAAATGCTTAAAACTCGAAGTTCATAATGATTCTTAAGAAAAAATAAAGTTGATTGCAATTGAAGGGTATGAAACAACCAATTATTTTAAAAATTGTAAATAAAAAGAATAAATCAAACTATATCCAGACTTTTATATATATATATATATCTGACCACTGGGTAACAAAACAGTTTATAAGGGACAGTATCTCTTTATAGAAGTATGCCAGCTAATCAATGAAGAAGAAATAATATAAGAATACCACTATTTTTCAATCCATAATGGATCAACAGCTAATATCAGCGAAAAAAAATAGACAACCAGACATTGTGTACCTCCTGATAGAAGAACTTAGCAAAATATTTGTTGTCCCTCCATATTTAACCTGAATTGATCAAGCCTTTGTTTACGTTTAAAAATATTTTTAATATGTTTTCATTGACTTCAGAGAGAGGGAGGGTGAGGGAGTGAGGGACAGAAACATCAATAATGAGAAAAAATCATCAATCGGCTGCCTCTTGCACACCCCCCACTGAGGAAGGAGCCCACAACCCCAGCATGTGCCCTGACCAGGAATCAAACTATGAGCTCCAGGTTCATGATCAAGCCTTTGGATCAAACTACTAATTTACAGTAAATACAGAGAACAGAGAAGCATGTTAGACAACTTCATGAAGACATAATTAGCAAAATCCAAAATATGGAAAAATGACCTCATTTCTTCAATAAATAAATTGTAAGGGAAGAAAAACAAGAGATCGAAGTAGAAACCAAAGTTCAAAAATATCCAAGAAGCCCAGGCGGTATGGTTGAGTGATGAACATCAACCCATGCACCAAGTGGTCAAAGTTCAATTCCCAGTCAGGGCACATGCCTGGGTTGTGGGTTTGGTCCCAGTGTGAGGCATGCAGGAGGCAGCTGATCAATGACTCTCTCTCATCATTGATGTTTCTATGTCTCTTTTTCCCTCTCCCTCTCTCTAAAATCAGTAAAACCATATTTTTAAAAGTTTTTAAAATTAAAAATAAAAACAATTGTTTTAAAAATGGCAGGAAACAAATTTAAAAATCATAAAGTAGGACTTTATTTGGATCGTGGTTCAAAAAAACACATTGTACAAAATAAGTAAGACCATTGGAAATTTGGAATACTAGAGTATTTGAAGATATCCTATATAAAAAAAGCATAATATGAAATTGTCCCCTCGACCAGGAGCTCTGATGTACACTGACCACCAGGGGGCGGCGTGGAACAAGGCAGGCATCAGGGATGCAGCACTGGCAGTTGGCAGCCATGGAGGCGGTGCTAACCCTCATGAGCCTCCATGAGAGCAGGACCACAGTGGGATGGTGGAACAGGTGAGCAGGTGGTGCCAGGCCAAGGCAGGTGGGAAGTGGGATTTTGAGGCTACAATCTTGATGCTAAGGGTGACCAGCTGAGGCGGCAAGGAGCAGGGCTGCCGCCCAGCTTACAGGCACTGAGGGAGCCAGGCAGAAGGGGGGGTCCTCCCTTTCCTCTTCCCCCCACTCTATCCTCCCATCCCCCCACCACCTTTCCCCCCAGGACACCACCGGCCCGACCTATTGTTCAACAGACAGCAACCAGCAGCCCGCAGGCACTGATCACCCAATCAGGTCTGGGCTCTAGGCTGACATGGGAAATTGGGGGTGGGTGGCAGCAACCAACTTCCCAAGGTACCCAAGCTGGGGGCTTCGACCTCTCACAGGCAGGGTGAGAGGGACAGAGGTGTGGTGAGAATGCAGGGTGTAGGCCAAACTTGCTCTCACTCCCCCTGCTACACTCACCCAGATGCCAGGGTTCACACACTGGGGAAGCCCCTGCACTCAGGTGCCTGGTGCCTGCTCCACACCCGTGAGGTGAGCTGGGACACAAGCGCGCTGGGACCACTGGGGCCAGTTGGGCTCCCTGTGGGTTCATGCAGGAGCTGGTCTGTGAGGCCGGCCACGGGAGAGTGTGCTGCCTTCCCAGCTTCTGTGTGGCACCACTGGTGGCCTAGAGGCCCACGCTGTGCCCCGGCCTGTGGTGTCCAGCTGCACTCAGCGGATCTCCACATCGGGACTCGGGCACTGTGACTCAGCAGAGGGGGCCACGTGAGGGCCCAGGAGGCCCAGGTGCGGCCCATGGCCCAGAGGTCAGCTGGGACCTGTCCTTCCATGCCAGACACTTGTGCTTCAATCTCTGGCCAGGCCTAAGGACTGCATGCATGCAAGAATTTCTTGCACCGGGCCTCTAGTTAAAGAATGATTGTGTGATCATGATACTCTGTTATGTTTTTTTGAAGCAACTTTATCTTTTACAGATATATACTGAAGTGTTTATGAATGAAATTATATGAGACCTAGGATTTGCTTCAAAATAGTAAGAAAGGGGGAGAACTGGGTGGAGTATATGTGACACATGATTGATCCTGAGTTAATAAACGGTGAAATTTGGTGATGAGTACAAAAGGCTTACTATGCTATTCTCTTGACTTCTGCATATATGTAAAATTTTCCACAAAAGAAAATTTTCCTAAAAATGTACTTCATAGGTTTGTCATGAGTATGATAAGAAAATGAATAGAATGTTTATCACCATGGCTTACAGTCCCCACTGTTTTTTAATGTTATACTAGAGGCCTGATTCACAAAATCCATGCAAGGGGCTTGTCCCTGCTGCCACTGTGGCTGCCTCTGCCTCAGCCCCCGCCACTGCGGCTTTGTCCAGAAGGTCGTCTGGAAGGACATCTGGTCTAATTGGCATATTACACTTTTATTATTATAGATTTTCTTTCAATTACTCATACCTAGAAGAAGTACATTATTTAGACCGTGAGCCATGGCCCACATGACTTTGTCCACCTAGTAGGAATTTAGTAAAACTTCAAGTTTAGAATTAGGAAATGCCAACATATCATGCAACAGCAATCAACAATTTCAAAAGCCTCCCTACTACTTCTAGTAAATAGGATTGTCTTCTTATCATCTTGTAGAAATATTTGAGATCATTAAATCATTATTTTTCAGTCATTTATCATGAGTAGGTTCTGAGGGTGCACATATTAACATAGTGGACCCTTGACTGATGGAAGGCATTTCAAGTGCCAAATGAATTCAATAAAAAGTGCTAAGCAACTATTATTGATACTAACTCAGTAATCATTAACTCCCCTCCTAAAAGCTTTTTGATGTGCTTTTTGAGTGAGAGTTAGAGTTATTGCTGCTCTACTGTATGTAACCCAAAGCCCACCTTTTATGCTTTAACCTGAAATCTGAATACACCCATGGAAATGTGTCAAACATGTGAATTTCCTGCAACCTGGGCAGAGGTGAGGGAAAGATTGAAAACTAGATACCCTGTGATTCTACCACCCTACTCCTCCCTTTTGCCATTTGAAATTTTACCTGAAGGTAGAAGGTACTGCTTCCAGAGCTGTTGCTGTCACTCAGGTTTATCCCCTAACCCCCCAAACTAGGATGGAAGCCATGTTGTTTAGGATGAAAAAGTAATGTTTATTTACAAATGTATATACTGATAGCTAACAATACCCTAGGGGAGATAGAGAACAAGGAATATACTATATCTTCTAAGATGAAAACTACCTATTTGGGGTTAAACCCAAGTCGCCTATCCAGTTGGAAAAAAGGTGGGAGAGACTACGCAGAGTCCAGCACTGACATCCGAATAAACAACTGGAAAAGGCTTTAGCCACCAGTTCTAAATGTTCACAGTGACTCAGGAGTAACTTGTTTGGGGATCAATTCAGTTTCCTCAGGGAGACTTTCAGACTTTGGTGCTTGTGACTGTGTTGACTTTTCTAAGTTGCCTATTATAAGGGGAGTATTTTTTACCCTCCCTTGCACCAGTTCCACAGTAAATTTAGAGGGCCTAGGAGCCAATTCCTGGGCCGATCAGTATCATTATCTCCTTTCCGTCTGACAGTCTTAAATAGGTGCCTCTTTCTTTTTAGGGCTTTCCTGCCACGTAATCGGAAGAAGCGAGTACTTATAATGGAAGTAGAGCTGTCCTCAGGATTAACATATTCCTCAATATTTTGAAGAAGAGTAGTCACCAGAATCTGGATAGATTCCACAGGATCATTCTTCAAACTTTCAAGAGCTGAAACCAGAAAGGAAGTCAACTCAGATTCTCAAGCTCCAAAAACTGTTTTCCCAAACACCATTGTTTTCCACCCACTTGTCACATTATGATATAACTTCATTTGGAATAACTTTGTGTCATTGTAAAAGTGCTATTGTTTTATTATAGAAAATGTTTAAATACAAATTGTTTTTTAAAAAGGAAAGAAAGCAAAAGCACTCAACCCCGCAAAAAATATATATTTTCATACCTGTCCTTGCAGTATTTCTTAAATATCTAACATAGACGTTTTGTTTTACAAAAATAGGATTAAAATTATTCTTCCCATAAAATATTTCCCCATATAACTTAATATCCAATCACATGATTCTATCATAATTTCTTTGATCAATACCTTATTAGTAAACAATAAGGCTGCTTGCAATTTTTCACTGTTATAAACAATGATCAACAACTCTTAATTGAGATTTACAGTACTATCATCATGCACTGTGCCATAAACAAAGACTATATATCCCATCCTCCCTTGCAGCTACGTGTGGTCATATAACTAAGTTCTGACCAAGTGGGTGTAAGGGAAAGAGGCATATGCAACTTCCTAGAGATATTGTAGTGAATAAGAAAGACATTCCCCACAGTCAAGAACATTCTAGACCAGCCGGTGCAGCTCAGTAGTTTAGCATCAACTTATGAACCTGGAGGTCACGGTTCGATTCCTGGTCAGGGCACCTGCCTGGGTTTCAGGTTCAATCCCCAGTGTGGGGCGTGCAGGAGGCAGCCCATCAATGATTCTCATCATTGATGTTTCTATCGCTCCCTCCCTCTCCCTTCCCCTTCCTCTCTGAAATCAATAAAAATAGATATTTTTAAAAATAGAACTTAATATTCTAGTGGAGAAAAAAAAGTAAACATAAATTAAGTGCAAAGAAGGAAATTTAACAGGATGATGAGAACAGCTAACTGGGAAGGACCCCTTTAGATAGGCCAGTCAGGGAACGCCTCTCTGAGAAGGTGACATTTGAGCTGGGATGCAAATAATGGCAGCCAGCCTCCAAGGCAGCCCCATGAAGATCGAGGGCAGAAAATGTCCCAGTGGAGGCAGGGATCACGTCATCCTGCAGAAAATAGTCAGTGTGGTTGCCCCTTCTAGTGAGGGGGACATGATGTAGGCTAAGGGTGGAGAGAAGTCAGAAGCCAGACTTCTCAGGGCCTGTGACCCAGGGTAAGGGACCAAACTTTGACCCAAAGAGCAGTGGAGAGCCACTGAAGGGGTTTAAGCAAAGGCGTGCCATGATCCAGTGTACATGTTTCAAGGAGATCCTGGCTGCTGCATGGAAAGTAGTGTAGAGAGAGGAACAGGATGTCAGGAGCTGTCAAAGTGGTCCAGTTAAGGAATAGGGGCGCATAGTTTAGAGTTGAGTGGGAACAGAGGGATGGAGACAGGAAATTACTTACTAGTATTGCAAAGGAGAAAAGGGACAGAAAGAATGTGCGCTCAACAAATCTAAAAGCCAACCAGGCCCCTCAAAGTCTACAGCTTCATGTTGATCTCATTTAGAATAGAAAAAAAGAGAGTTGGGCTTGCACTATATAGAAAAATATACAATCCTTTAAAGAACCACTTCTCAACCACAGGTTTGCTCAGAACTACATATGGGTGGAAGTGTAATTAGAAGTATTTTCCTTGGGAAAAATTTCCTCCTATCTAGGTATTTGGGCATCTTTCCAGGAGGCTGGGTGGGAAGAGGAAGGCAAGGTGAATTCTCAGACAGACTTAGGAGTCCAAGATTTCCATTCTGGACATACTTTCCCTGAAATTGAACTATGGTAGCTGGAATAGGTATCTATTATACACTAGAGACCACACTGTAAAACCTAAAAGAAGGCAGCCAGCATATAAAATGTCAGAGTCAGAACTGAAGCCAGGGTCAAGCCCTCAGAGGGCAGATGCTACCAGCTGATGGTTAATGTGCTAGCAGTAGCATGGCTTCTCTCTGGGAAGCAACAAATATACTCCCTTAGCTACAAATATACTCCCTACCTGCCCTCCCAATACCACCCCTCCCCTGGCCCAGAAGCCTGAGTCAGTTCAACACAGATGTTTTCTGGGACATCTATGTGCCCAGCAAAGCTCAGTGCTTCCCATGTTTTGTGTTCAATCATCAAAACAATGTTCAAGATCAGCACTATTATCCTCATGATGCCAATGGAGAAACAGGCACAGAGGCAAAGTAACTGGCCCAAGTTCACATGGCTCATTATCAAGAGATCTAGTATGTGACAGTGGTCTGAGTAATGCAGACTTTGTGGAAGAAAGTACCCTTAGAAGTCATTTACCATTTTACTCTCTGGACAAAGCTGTAAAGAAAACAAGGACTTGTCTATCTCCAGTTGTCTGCTAGGCATTTCCTCTGAGACAGGATTCCACCACTACCTCACAAACAGCATCCCTCAAATATTACCTCACAGCAGGCGCCAGGAAACTCTAACTGGGCTCAAACCAGAGGGCAAAGCCCCTGAGGATAGGCATCTGCAACACCAGAACAGCAAGCCTGTGGCATTCATGCCAGGACTTTCAGACAAACACATAACACTCTCAACTACAAAAGGGCTGAGACATAGGAACAGGAGCTAGAAAAGCAAACATTCTCTTCATCTTGTCTCTACATCAAGGAAGGAAACTGTGGTATGAAAAATAGTGAAGAATAAGTAATTCAAAAATCCTTTCCATTTGGTCCTGGAATGAATTATACCACCCACCATTGGTCAAAAGCTACCTAAACTCTTCCCAGTGTCCATTAGCAGAGTTAAGAACTGTGTTCAATGCTGCACCCTACACTCAGGTAAAACCCTAAATCTTTACCATGGCTAAAGGCCGCATCAACGTGGCCCCACTGCTGTTCTCTGATCTCATCACCTCCTGCCCTGCCTTTTGCTCACTCCATGCCATCACATTGATCTTCTTGTTCTTCCTTGAACATGCCAAGTGCTTATCCCTCAAAGAGTCATAGGGTTCACTCCCTCATTTCCTCCGGCTCTCTGCTTAAATGTCCCATAGCGGAGGGGTACCCCGGGCCCCACTCCGGCCCTTTTTACCCCTTGCCTTATGGAGATAGTGACCTCCACAGTGCTTATGTAACATCTATGTATTTGTTGAGGGGGTATTCCTCCCTTCCCGACTAGAATGTAAACTGCATGAAGAATAGGTTATCAGTTTTGTTCACTGCAGTATTTCATGCTTAGAATAGTACATAGTATACAGTAGGTTTTCAATACTTAACAAATGTAATTACTAGAGAGCAATGGCAGGGAGTCAGCAGAAGTACATCCTATATAAAACATAGGTGTGGCTCTTCAGGGACTGAAGGGAACAAAGGGTTTTGAAAGGTGAGGTAAAACTTTCTCCTCTGATAGACATTGGGAATAGCAGCTCCTCTTTCTCCACACTACCAACTTCCATTCCCTACCTCTTTTTTAGGACTTTGGTAAGATTAAGAATAATGGAGACCTGGCCAACACGGCTCAGTAGTTCAGCATTGACGCATGAACCAGGGGGTTACTGTTCGATTCCTGGTCAGGGCACATGCCTGGTTGTGAGCTCAATCCCCAGTAGGGGGCATACAGGAGGTAGCTGATTGATAATTCTCATCATTGATGTTTCTATCTCTCTCTCCCTCTCTCTTCTTCTTTCTGAAATAAAAAACAACAACAACAAACCACATATCTTTTAAAAAAGAAAAGGTGACCATGAATCGCTACTTCTTGAAATTGGAGTATGGGTACCTGTTACTATATTACTAGAGGCCCAGTGCAAGAAAATTCATGCACTGGAGGGGGCTCCTCTCACAGTCCAGGAGCCCTCAGGTGTGGGAGGTGACCCGGCAATCAGGGGAAGGCAACACCCCATCACACCTCTGCTGCTGCCTCTGCCAGCAGCATAAGCCTCGGCTAGCCCTGATACTTGAGTCTCGGGCTGGACCTGGGAAGCTGGGGCGCTGAGGGGACTGGGGGTCTCCGGAAGCAGGCAAGTGGAGCAGCCGTGCCCACTGAGGGCAGGCTCAGCCTTGATGCGCGCCTGCTGCCCTGGCGGGGCTGAGGGGACTGGGCACTGCCATCTTTTGGCTGTGGGTGCCACCATCTTATGTCTGTGGGTGCCGCAGGGCAATCAATTAGCATATTCCCTCCTTATTGGCTGTGGACACTGCCATCTTTGCAATGGCATGAGGGTCAATTAGCATATTTCATCTTTATTAGATAGATTCTCTATACTTTTAAATAACACTTTAAAATATCTTAAAACAGCCACAGGAAAAGGAGAGATTACCTACAAAGGAAAAAAAACTAGAATAGCAGGCTTCTAGTTAGCAACAAAGAAAGCCAGGAAATAATAGCACAATGTCTTCAAAATGCTGAGAGAAATTAATTGTTGGTGTAGAATTTTAAAACTAGTAAAGCTATCTTGCAAGGATGAGGGTAAGAAGAAATTCTTACAAACAAAACAAAATCTAAGACAGTATATTATCAAGATACCAGCACTAATATGCAATAACTTAATCAATAAAAAAATTAATAAAAAGTGTGTAAAAAAAAAGATTTCAGCCCTAGCCCTGGCCAGGTGGCTCAGTTGGTTGGAGTGTCATTCCCTACACCAAAAGGTTGCAGGTTCCATCCCCTATCGGGGCATGTACGGGAAGCAACCGATGAATGTTTCTTTCTCTCTCTCTCTCTCTCTCTCTCTCTCTCTCCCTCCCTCCCTTCCTCCCTCCCTCCCTCTCCTTCTCTCCCTCTGAAGGCAATAAACATATCCTCCAGTGAGGATTTTTTAAAAAGATACCAGCACTAAAGAAACTTCTAAATGGTTTACTCTAGAAGAATGGAGAAAAATGACCTCTGAGGGATGGTCAGAGATACAAAAAGGAATGGTGAGCATGTAACACTTTGTAAATCTATGGTTTGTATAAAGTAACAATAATAATCATAGCATATAAATTATGAATTTAAAATAGGAACTAAAATATTGGTTAAGAAAAGCCTGTAATTGGGAAAGGCGGTGATTGAAATTCATGTCAACATAGTAGGAAAGATTAAAATGTTGTACTTTAAACTCGGTTAAGTTCAACATGCATGATAAAAGTCTACTTTTTAGTATCTAGTCTGGACTAAGAATTACACTTGTATATAAGGAGGCATATATAAGAATGTTCATGGTAGCATTGTTTGAATAGCAAAAAAATTGAAATAACTTAAATATTAATATATCAAGGGCTTTATAAATATAAATTAATTTTAAAATATTTTAAGGCAGTAAAAAAGAACACAAAACTGCATGTTCTTCGGGGGGAAAGGAACCATGTCTGCCTTACACACCTCTGCAGGGTCAGCCCAGAGCACAGGATAGAGGGGCAGTGACAAAAACGTATTGTTAGCAGTGCTTTTATCTAACTGGTATGATGATAAATAATCTTATCTTTCTCTTACTTCTCTTCACTTAAACTTTTAGATATAACATTTATACTGGTAAGAGTAAACTTTTAAAATAATCTCACATGTACGTCAGGAATTGCCCCTTCCTCCTTTCTATCTCGCCCCATCCCATTATGTAACCCAGAACCCAGGTGCGAGGCCCAGACTCACCATTTATTAACAGCTGCACATCGTCCTCATGTATGGAATGCAGGTTTATCTTCTTAGCTATTAATGCTAAAGACAGAACAGATGTAAAGTCCATCCAGAATTCCTGAGCCTTTGGGCCATCCCTTTCCCCAGGCTCGGTAGTGAACAAGGACATTTATAAAATGATTTTAGCAAGGAATGTATGTAAGAGAAGCCTTGCTGGCTACATGTCAGTGTCCTAGTGAAAGAACAGCCCTCAGAGCAGCTGTGACCCAAGTGATAAGTGGAGCCTGCGCCAAGGATGTTAAACTTCATGGGGCTCCTACACCAACAGAAAGATGGACTGGGGGCACAAGGCAATAATTTGCAAAAATAAAATATGGATGGGCAATAAACAGGACAAAATACATAACCTAGCTGTTGATTAAAAAAAAATTTAACCAAAACAACAAGCTTCTTTGTTTTCACCTATCAAATTGGTAATGATTTTATAAACATATTACCTAGGGTTGCCAAATGTTTGGTGAAATGGATACTCATATACATACTGGTGACGAGAGAAAATGAATCTAACTTTTTAGAGGGCAGTTCCAAATCCTTAAAATTCTGCATACCCTTTGAGTCCAGGAACTCTACTTTTAAGCAATGTATCTTAACAAAATAATCATGATGACATGCAGAGATTTAACCACTATGTCCCTGTCTATAAAAACAAAAGATAACACAGTCTCAATATTCAAAAATAAGGACTGGTTTCATAAATCCGTCTATACAATTAAATTAATATTATGTAGTCATTAAATATAATGTTGATGAGTATGTAATGCATGTATTTGTGATAGAGCTATGTACCAAAGTTTATTATTAAAAAGTTTGCCCTAACTTTTTGCTCCCAGGTTTCATTCTGGTCAAGGGCATGTACCTTGGTTGTGGGCACATCCCCAGTAGGGAGTGTGCAGGAGGCAGCTGATCGATGTTTCTCTCTCATTTTTTTTTGTTTCTAAATCTCTATCCCTCTCCCTTCCTCTCTGCAAAAAATCAATAAAAATATTTAAAATAATCAAATAAATGAAAGTTCTATAGCTCTGCACCAGTGGGTCAGGGATTGAGCATCAATCCAGGAACCAAGATTTATGGTTCAATTCCCAGTCAAGGCACCTACCTGGCTTGTGGGCTCAATCCCCAGTAGGGACAATGAAGGAAGCAGCCAATCAATGATTCTCTCTCTCCCTTCTACTCTCTCTAAAATCAATTAAAAACATATATTTTGTAAAGTGCTATATATATGTGTATGTGCACGTGTGTGTGTGTGCATGCACGCACGTCTGTGTAGCATATTTTTAAGAAAAATAATTCTATGGTGTTCGTAGTGGTTAAATCCAAATGACGTAAGTTCTGGTATTACTCATTGTCTTCTTTCCGCCAGTCTGAATATTTTATGCTTTCTAACATAAACACATACTGTTATTATAGTTTAAAACAAAAAATATTTCGGGAAATCCATGGGGTTCCATTTGAAGCAACAGTTTTTTCCTTCCAAATGGGTACATTTCTCTTTCTAACAAAGCAGCATGCTGACAAAGTGGGTAGATGCACACAGAGCCAGGACTAAGGCAGATAGCTTACTCCTCCTCCCCAGGCTTTTCTAACACAAATTTTGGAGGCTGACAGCACATCTCAAATCAGGTCAGAGCTAGGAAAGGATGTAACCAACTTCATCATACCATGGTTCTGGCTTTGCCCTTTAGTGAAAGGTCAAGGAGGGCTTTCCTGCTGGAGAGAAGGGAGGAATTGACAGGAGGGACCACCTTACCTATGAAATGGACGGCAGCTGTCCGTACGGAGGACTCAGAGCTCTTCAGGAAGCTGAAGCTCTGAAACAGTAACTCCCCCACTAATTGTCTTTTGCATGTATTCACCTGTGAAGGCAAAGAGGAGTAATGCTGACAAGGAGAGGGGGGTTGCTGGGAATTCTACTGAAGACCGTCTTGCAGCTTTGGCCCTATCACCTTGTCCACAAGCAGCAGCATTTTCTGTCTTCAGTCAGCTTAAACGATTTGAACCTATACACTCAGACACCCCCACCCCAGCAAAAGTGCACACTCAGCAGAAAGTTCATAAAGAGAATTTTGCTCCTTGGTACCAACATGATAAGGGAGAAAACAGCCCTAACTGGTTTGGCTCAGTGGATAGAGCATCGGCCTGTGGATTCAAGGGTCCCAGGTTCGATGCTTGTCAAGGGCATGTACCTTGGTTGCGGGCACATCCCCAGTGGGGAGTGTGCAGGAGGCAGCTGATTGATGTTTCTCTCTCATCGATGTTTCTAACTATCTATCCCTCTCCCTTCCTCTCTGTAAAAAAAGAATCAATAAAATATATTTTTTTAAAAAAAGGGAGAAAACAACTGATGTAGATCCAGGAGACCAGGTTTGAATACTGGCCCTGACATTGGCCTCAGTTTTTTCATCTGAAGTGTTGAAATAAAACCTGCCTAACCTACCAATGGCTCCAATGGGATAATGGGTGTTAAAGTGTACACGGTAAAGTGCTCTATCTATGTAAGGCATTCAAATTCATAATATTAGAATTACTCATTTAGTTCCTTACCTACTCACGTAGCCCTTAAATGTTTACTTTTCAACAAGGATTCCTGCTCTATGGCCTGTTCTTGACTTCACTGAAGTCACTGAAGCTACAGACCGTTACCACCATGACTGTTGATCTCAAGCCCTGCGGACTCCTGTCTATATCTCTTCCTCTAACCAGAAGGCTTCTATCCCATTGGCATCTGTTAACCTTGCATGATGTCCCTAGCCTCTGAGGCAGAGTTTGGGACGCTAAGAGGATCAAATATGGAGATCCAGGGACTGGCATTCCAAATGTGGGTTCTCAGAGTTTGCTGATGAGAAAGAATGAGAATCAAGGAAAGGAAAGAATACATCTTCTGTCAGCCCTCTCCTCTTTGCCCACCGAGCCTGCCAGTGAGTCCATAGCATGCAGAATGCAACCGGCTTCCTCAGAGACTCTCACTCACCAAATGGTTGCATGTTTCTTCCAACACCTGCATGTGATCACTGAGGGTGGTATGCTGAAACATCTGTGTGAAGGATGACCAGCCAATCACATTCGTCCACTCAGTCAGAGCTGCTCCACAGGCCTATGGGATGGAGACAAAGAAATCCTAAGTCTCGCTCCTATAATTCTAGAGAGCCAGGCCTGCCCAAGAAACTAGTCCACAAGGGGTTTGGTTGGGATTAGTAACTGGGATCAGGGGCCTTGATCTTGTGAAAAGATGTAAATAAATTCAGGGAGGAGTACCATATCTGTCTAAGACTGATGGGACCCAATAGAGGGTAAAAGTGCTCAGATTCAGCCCGGAAAATGATACCAAAGAGGTGTAGAGCAGTGGTTCTCAACCTGTGGGCCGCGACCCCTTTCGCTGTCGAACGACCCTTTCACAAGGGTCGCCAACGACCATCATTCATATCAGATATTTACATTAGGATTCATAACAGTAGCAACATTACAGTTATGTAGCAGCAATGAAAATAATTTTATGGTTGGGTCACAACATGAGGAACTATATTTAAACAGCCAGAAGGTTCAGAACCACTGGTGTAGAGTGAATGCAGATCCCAGACTAGGCTCATGAAAGAGGACTAAAGGGAAGGGGCTCTGCTCTAGCAGGAAGGGGTTGTATCAGGCTGAGTTTGGCAGGACAAAGATCACCCGTACCTTGACCACCTCGGTGTTGTTGTCCTCTAAGCTAAGCAGCAGCGGGACTAAAAAACTGTACAGATGTTTCTTGATGGCATATCCTGGCTTGAATTTGTTGACTCTATGTAGCATGTGCCCAAGGGAAGAGATGGCTATGATCCTCACCTGGTCCCTCTCCTGCCATGAAGAGCAAAATGGAGATGAGGAGGTTATGGTTTCCCTCTGACCCTGCCTCGCTTGGCTTTCATGCACCCACATTTCATTTTTCATGTCCAAAGGACACTGCATTTACATACTAAAAAAGGCAACATAATTTGTGTAGCTGAGTAAATCTCTTTAGCCCCCTAGAGCTAATAAGCCTCCTAGAGTTATGGCACTGTGCTAGGGAAACTAAGATTATAATTTCAGTTCTGCCCTGGATCATATCTACAACCTATCACTTTATTCCTTCTGGGGATTTAGCTCAAGAATGCCAAATTTAAAAAAAATTAATTGTCCTAGTTATGCTGTAATTTTTTAAATCTATATTAGCTTGTGTTAATTAGCAAGGATCACAAACAGCTAAACTTTATACACTTTCAAGAGTATAGTATATATTAACTGTACAAATATTTTTTGAGCACCTATAATGAGCTAGCACTGTACTAAATAGCAGACATGATGGGACAAGACAGTTCCTGAATTTGTAGGATACGAAAACAGATATTTTAACAAGTTGAATTATATTTTGCACAAAGCACATAATGGCTAAACAGAGAGATGATTCAATGTTAGTATTTTAATTAAAAAAACAACAACAGGATCCAATACAGTGGTGGAGTAGGTGGAAGTTACACTTACCTCCTCCCAGAATCAAACCAGAAGTACAACTAAATTTTAGAACAATCAACCTAAGTTACCAATTGAAGTCCAGCTGAACAGAAGTCTTATGACCAAGGATTTACAGAAGAAGCCACATGGAGACTGGTAGGACGGACTGAGGCTCAAAATGAGGTGGCCCCACACGTGCAGCAGTAGAGAATCTGGAGAGATATTTCACCTACAAAGTCCACTGTCAGGAGCAACGGGCTCAACCCAACACAGGCTCCCCAGCCTGGAGCACCACAAAAGGAAGAGAAACCCACCTAATTCCTGGCTGTGAAAGTCATCAGAGATTCCATCTACTAGGGAGAGAAGGGAGTCTGCCAGAAACCCAGGAGCCCTCTTAAAAAGTCAGTGCAGAAAATGTCATTTCCAGCCACTCACCATGGGCTTAAGCGGAGGGAAAGTAGCTCAGAGCAGACTGGAATCATACAGGGAGAGAGTGGGTTGTGTGGCTTCAGGGAGAGAGCTAAAGGGACAGCCACCCAGGTCCTTGTGTTGAATCCCTCTCCCACCACAGTCCACAAATGTCATATTTTTTGGGTTGACCATTCCCCTCCACAGGGCATCAGCCTGGTGGAATGCATTATTACTCCCTCCCAAATACCTGTATCCCTGCCCTGCCAAGCTCCCACCAGCCAGCCTGAGCTGGCAGTGCAGACTTTCTTGGAGGGATCTTTAGGATGTGTAGGCAGACAAACGGGATGTCAGAGACTGAGTTCTGTGGCTTTAGGGTGAGGGTCATTTTCCCCCTCACATGCTGACTGGAGCCACCATTGCTGTGCAAAGCGCTCTATCCACATGACCAAATATTGGTCTGTTTTAGCCCTATAAACTCTGCTGGCCTCACCCTGATGATTCCCTCAGAACATACCCCATCACAAATGTCTGTAGGCCCAATGCAGGTGACAGCTGGCACCTGACTTTGGTGTACAATGAGACATTTGCTGAGTGGCCTCAGAAGCAGTACTGGCTTCAAGTTAGTATATGTATCAACCTGGTGAATACCACTGGCCCCAACATGAGAACCTACTTCAATTTGCATATTGCCAGAGGCAATTCCAGTGATTGGGCCTAACAGGAAGCCAGCAGGCAAAGGCATATCTTGGAGTGTCTTGGGACTTTTGCTGACCCCTCCCATGGGTTTGGTGCTGATGGAGGCCAGACATGGCATGCACTTTGGCTTCTCCCATATGCACCCTTATCCTTCAGAGGCTGCCACAAAATGTGGATCATTTGTAGATCCTAACAGGTAGCCCAGGGCCAGTCACAGGCAGCATCTGATATTCACCAGCACCAGAGTCCCTCCCAAGAGGCCTCAGAACCTGGTGGCAGGCTTCAGACCACATTAGAGAACAACCCAATTAGCCCCACAAGTGGCACATTGAAAGGAAGATTTTGGCAGATACCAGACCCTGCTGTGGTGAATTCTACTTCATGGGGTTAGGCCCTGCCCAGCAGCTCATACAGTGAGGTCATGTTCAATCCTCATAGTCAGGCAGCCTGAATGTTAACCCCACCCATGGATGCACCAACAGCAATAAGGCTGAACTACAGCCCTGGCTAGTGTGCTTCAGTAGGTTGGGTGTCTTCCTGAGAACTGAAAGATTGCCAGTTCAATTCTTGGTCAGGACACATGCCCAGATTGTGGGCTCAATCCCTATTAAGGGAGCGTGCAGGAGGCAGCTGATCAATGTTGCTCTCATACTGATGTTTCTCTCTCTCTTTCTCCCTTCTTCTCTCTCTAAAAATAAATAAAAAATCTTTTTAAAAAATACCCTACTACAAAAGAGGGTTCACATAACACACTCCCAGAACACCTTGCTCTAGTGATCAGGGAGACAGCACTACCAAGCCCCACAGGACACCTACGAAATAAATACCAAGATTGGGAGACATAGGAGATCTACCTAATATAATAAAACAAATACAGAGAGGTAGCCAACATGAGAATACAAGGAAACATACCCCAAATAAAATAACAGAGAATCCCCAGAAAAAGAACTAAAAACAATGAATGCAAGCAATCTACTAAATACAGAGTTCAAAACAATGGTTAAAAGGATGCACAATAAACGCAGGGGAAGAATGGATGAACTCAGTGAAAAAAAGAAAAGATAGTAATAGGACACAGAAAATATAAAAAAAGAACCAGTGAAAAATACAGAATACACTAGAAGGAACCAACTATAGACTAAATGAAGCAAAGGATTGAATTTGCAATTTGGAAGATAAGGTAGCACAGAATAGCCAATCAGAGCAGTGAAAAAGAGAGAGAGAGAGAGAGAGAGAGAGAGAGAGAGAGAGAGAGAAATTCTTGTTGTTAATCTTCATCTGAGGATATCTTATCCAGTAACTTTTGGAGGGAGTGTGAAGGGAGTGGGAGAGACAGAAGGAGAGAAATATTGATGTGAGAGAGACACATGGATTGGTTGCGTCCCACACACTACCCAACCAGGGCCAGGTATTGAACCTTTGGCCAGAATTGACCCTGTGACCCTTTTGTCCATGGGCCGATGCTCTAAGCACTCAGTGAATGAGCCAGGGCTAAAAGAAAATTTTAAAAAATGATAATGCCATAAGGGGCCTCTGGGACAACATCAATATACCAATGTCTGCATTATCGGGGGCACCACAAGGAGCAGAAAGAAAGCAAGGGATTAAAAACCTATTTGAAGAAAAAATGATGGAAAACTTTCCTAACTTTGTGAAGGAAAAAGACACACAAGTCCAGGAAGTGCAGAGAGTCCTATACAAGATAATCCCAAAGAGAACCACGCCAAGACATATCAAAATTATGGTTTTAAAAAAAACCTCTCAGGAAAGTAGATATAGAGAGAACATATCATAACATAATAAAGGCCATCTATCACAACCATGCAACTAACATCAAACTCAACAGGGAAAAACTAAAAGATCAGAAACAAGATAGAGATGTCCATTTCCAACACTCTTAGGCAACATAGTTCTGCAATCAGACAAGAAGAAGAAATAAAAGGCATCCAAATTGGAAAGAAATAAAACTGTCATTATTTGCAGATGACATGATACTCTATATTGAGAACCCTAAAGATTCCAACAAAAAAAACTACTAGAATTTATAAATTAATTCAGTAAAGTATCAGGATACAAAATAAATATTCAGAATTCGATTGCATTTTTTCCTTTTCTTTTTTCATTTTAGTTGCATTTGTATACACCAATAATAAACTATCAGAAAGGGAACCTAAGAGAACAATCTCATTTACAACTGCATCAAAAATAATATAAAATAAAATCCCTAAGAATAAATTTAACGAAGGAGATAGATGAACCATACTCAGAAAACTATGGAAGACATTAAAGAAATACACTGAAAAAGATATAAATAAAAGGAAGGTTATACTGGACAGGAAAAATTAACATAGTTAAAATGTCCATACTACCTAAAACAATCTATAAATTTAATACAATACCTATCAAAATATCAATGTTTTATTTCCCAGAACTAGAACAAATAATCCACAAATTTATCTAGAACCACAAAAGACCCCAAATAGCTAATAACAATCTTGAGAAAGAAATACAAAATTGGAGGTATCATGCTACCTGATATCAAACTATACTGCAAGGCCATAGTAATCAATACAGCATGGTATTGGCAAAAAAAAACAAAACAACAAAAACATATCAACGGAACAAAATGGAGAGTCCAGAAATAAACCCTCTATGGTCAAAGGAGGCAAGAACATACAATGGGGGTAAAGACAGTCCATTCAATAAATGGTGTTGAAAAAATTGGACAGACACATGCAAAAAAAAAAGAAAGAAACTAGACCACCTTCTTACACCATACACAAGAATAAACTGAAAATGGATTAAAGAGTTAAACCCATAAAACTTCTAGAAGACAACATAGTAAAATCTCTGCGGGACCAGGCATGCCAGGGCCAGATGCTGCTTGTTTGGGGTTTGTGAACCTTTGAGATATTTCTAGGAATGTTGGCATATGCCAAGACAAGCTCTTTGTATGGAACACTGTTAGGCAGGTTAGTGGAGACTCAGATCTGATGCTTGCCTACACATGCATGGGGAGGGCTTAGCAAAGGAACAGTAGCTTCTGCCAGCACTTCCTCTGGGAGACAGCTGCCCTTCCAGCCTTTCCTTGAAGCCAGATAAGTCAGTTCTACCTCTGGCTTCTTTTGAGGTACTGCCCCAGGGCTGGAGATCAGAACAAGTGAACCCATCAGCGAGTAATTCCATGCAAAGGCCCTTTAAGAGGAATGCTTGGGATTCCAGGAGCCTTGCCCCTCCACCCTCCAACGCCCTAACCCCAGACTCATTGAGCAACCATCTCTAATGGTTTTCTTAGTCAGAGGTGAGGGACTTCTCTTGCCAGCACTGGAACTGGAGAGCCTGGTGTGGGGCTGGGACACCTACTCCACAGTGGGAGACTTCACAGCTGAGATATCTCTCCCAATCTTTAACCAGTACATGTGGGTGTGGGACCAGCCCATTCCAGGCCTCTGCCCCTCCTACTAGCCTTGCTGTGGCTGCTTCTGTATATCCTTAGCTATAGGGCTTTTGTTCAGCTAGAGTTCAGGCAGGTATCAATGATGGTTGCTCTGAAGTTTAGTTGTAATGTGGTCATGGGAGAAAGGGAGTACAGTGTTTACCTATGCTGCCATCTTGACTGGGAGCGAAAACTACGGAGTTTTAACCAAGTAAATGTATATGACTAGGTGAATGTTAAAGCAGCACCTAGAACCCAAATTTCACAGCCTTTGCCTGGGTCAGCGTTCTTTTCACTTTCTAGGTTGCCATTATAATGGCCATTTACTATTTCTCAGGCCATAAATCTTGACTTCCCATTCCAGCAATATGGAAGATAACCTGACAACCTTCCCATTATAGACGTCTTAAAATGCAAAAGAAAATATACCAAGAAATATTTAAATAACTACAATTTCAAGAAAGAGAAATTCCCAGGGCCAAAGATAAAGAGGCTGCTAACACTCCAGCGCCCATGGGGTAGAGAGATATCACTGGTTTCTATGACCTAGGGGCCTGGCTTTTCCTATCTATTGGTCTCCCCAACCTGCCCAGAAGGCAACCAGAAACTGGGAAGCAAGCACCATAGGCTGACAGAATGCTCCAAGAGAAGTTGTCTAGTTAATCTCAAAGAGCCAGAAAGGGAACTCACACTGCTCAAAGAGAGGGGAAATCCCTCAGTTCTTTTTCTCCTACTGTTCTCTCATGCCACAGCCCCCACACAAACCAGAGGGAACCTATAGGAGCCAAAACTCTGAGGGAGGGAAACCTTACTTTCCCTTTGAAGGAGCTGAGGCCCCAAGAGGATGGGCAAACCCCCATTTCTTTATTTCCTCTCTCTGCCTTCATGCCACTTGGCCCAAATGTAGGCACAGTCACAGAAGTCCCTGGCATTGCAGGCTAACTAAAGCCTCAGCTTTATGGCCAAACGAAGAGAAAAAGGGAGCCCCAGGGAACTGTAAAATCAGGGAGGTCACAGAGAGGGAGGACCTTGGGAAAGTGAACATTCAAAGGGACAATGGCTGGCAATTCAGACTGACATTGAAATCACATTGTGCACACAGAAGGCTAGTCAGAACTTGCAGCCTGAAGTTAAATAGGCCAGTTGCCTTCTAAAGCAAAACTATGAACATCCTCCTTAGGATTTCAATGAGACTCAGAGTCACATAACTTAATATTTATAAAGATACGATCAAAAATCACTCTGGCCAGTTTTTCTCAATGATTAGAGCATCAGCCTGTGGACCAAAGGGTCACAGGTTCAATTCCTGGTCAAGGGCATGTACCTCCATTACAGGTTCGGTCCTCTGATGGAGCAGGAGGCAACCAATCTACGTGTCTTTCTCATATCCATGTTTCTCTCTCTCTTTTTCTCTTTCTCCTCTCTCCTCCTTCCACTCTCTTTTATAAAAAAATCAATAAAAAAATTATCCTCAAGTGAGGATTAAAAAAAAATCACTCTATATATGAAGAGCCCAGAAAAACTTGACTCACATGGGAAAAGCCAATTGAGATGAAACAGTTAAGATAAAACAGATACCAGTTAAGATGAAACAGATGTTGGAATTATCTGATATAAACCTTCAAGGAGTTATGATACAAAATACTCCAAAACAACACTGAATAACCTTGTAATCAATTCAGAAATAAAAGCCTCAGCAAAAAAGGAGACAAGATAAAGAAAAATGGGAAATATTTAAACTGATAAATACAAATTATCAAAACACAGGTGTCAGAGGAAAGACACAGTGAACTTGAAGACCAATAAAAATATTCCAACCTGAACAAGGAGAAAAATTATTGAAAATGAACTGAATCTTGGGACCGATGGGACAAGAGCAAAAGGTCCAAACTTTCGGTCTCAGATTTCTAAAAGGAGAGGAACACGAATGTGCTGAAAATGTTTTGGAGAAATAATGGCTACAAACTTTTAAAGTATGGTAAAAGACATAAACATAGAGATTTCAAAAAATTCAGGCTAACCCTAAAGAAATTCATGCCAACACATCCTAAACTGCTAAAAACTAAAGACAAATGTGAGACAAAATAAAGACATTTTCAGAGTAAGACTGAAAACATTTGCTATTGACAGACCCTCACTGAAGAAGCCACAAAGAAAAAAGAAGAAAATGAATCTAGAAGGGAGGAGAGACCTATAAGAAGGAAAAGTAAATGAAGAAATGTGTAAGCAACATATGGGAAAATCTAAATGAGTATTGACTGTATAACATAACAGCAATGGTGGTGATTATGTTAAAGACCACATTTGGGGATTTTCAAAGAATGTGAAACTAAACTACTAGACAATATTAATTAATAAAACGGGGGTGGTGTAATCAAGCTTCTAAGGTTCTTATATTGTTTGGATGAAGGGTAAAGATTATCTTTAGGCTTTGTCAAGTCAAATATACATGTTGGGTTTAAAAGTAACTGAAAAATGGATGAATCATGGTGTGAGTGTCCAGGCTCTTCGAGATTATGAGGCTGATACAAAAATAATTCAAATCCAAGGTTCAAATCTTAAAAATTGATAGATGCCAGAACAGGAATACTGTAAGTAAGCATACATCTCTGATGTGAAGTCCCTTCAACTCAAAATGGCTCTGATTGTAAAGAGGCTTAGACATGGAATGGGCTGTTACTGGCCTGGGTAGTTCAGATTTCTGAGCCTTTGGGTTTTGTAACAAGCCTCCTAGCATTCTAGGGTCCCTGTGCTATTTGGAAGGAGGGTAGAAGTTATGAGTTCTTCCCCCACTCTTTAAGTTTGCAGGAGAAGATCATTGGAGTCAGAACCAATTTTACATCAGTATGTCACATTTCCCCTAAAGTGGCTCCTTCAGGAAATTTGTGGTAAGAGAGTAAGTGGGTGAGTGCTACATCTGTATGTAATAGGGAGTGAATTTTGCACCTGTCTAATGCACTGCTTCAAGTAGCCAAGTCTCCTTTTTTCTGCCCCTCAGTGATTTTAGCCTTCCACCCAGTCCCATAGCCCCGCCCCAGCACCCTTAATTCAGCTTCCAGGGTTCACCTTCAGCCCCAGCCCATACTATTCCCAACTAATCCTAGGGACTTAGACCCATACATCATTGATGAGTGGACGCAGATGCCTGGAGATGCTGCAGAACATCGCCTTGACCTCTTCTCCATGCCCATGGTAGATGATGTTCCGTAGGGCCTTCACTGCCTGAACTGTCACCCGTGCCTCACTCTTCAGGAAGTCTCGCAAGGATGGAAACAGGCTCTTGACAGACTCTGACTGTTTGAAAGAAGGCAGAGATCACTTACCATGTGGGTTTCATGCAACACTTTAGGGACAGGGTTTTGAGAAAACAGGTGGTGCCTAAAAGAAACAGACCTAGGGAATCTAGGGGCTGGATGTGCAGAGGAAGTGGAAGGCTGGTGCTCAGGGTGTTTGGGAGGCCAGATGGCCAGGCTATGTAAGTCTGTAAACTGGATGTTGTACTGCCCTAGAATGAGGGGTTGGGAAATTTACTAAGCTCTGGTTAATTAAGAGACCCCAAGGGAAATAAATTAAGTGGTTCAGAGACTAACATTTGATTCCCATTGGGCCCCCCACTTTTACTTGACTTGGATGCAGTGCCAGGTTACTGATTCCACGGAGTCCAATTTCTTTCATGATGAGGTTGGGCTCCTTGGTCCACTTGATTAGATTGCCCACAAAGTCTTGTCCCAGAGTCTGAGCCACTGATCGATGCCAGAGGAGCTGTGGAAACAAGGTTACTATAACCATGGATGGAGAAAAGGTCATGGGTACTTGGTGTTTCTCTAGCTACCCTCAGGCCCCATACTCAGGTAAGAACTGTGACCAGTTGAGAGTAGTAGTCGATCTGTGCACATGGGGTAGAGCCTATGGCAATGGTGGATAGCGCTGATAACATTTAGCATTTTGGGCAAGATCCTGGGATCCTAAAATCATTCTGGGAGGAATAATGCTGCTGATCCTCTCCCCAGGCTTTCCCTGCATTTTTATTTTTTAAAAAATATTTTTATTGATTTTTTACAGAGAGGAAGGGTGAGGGATAGAGAATTAGAAATATCGATGAGAGAGAAACATTGATCAGCTGCCTCCTGAACATGCCCTACTGGGGATGTGCCCACAACCAAGGTACATGCCCTTGATCAGAATCAAACCAGGAACCCTTCAGTCCGCAGGCCGACACTCTATTCATTGAGCCAAACTGGTTAGGGTGTTCCTTGCCTTTTTTAAACCAGGCTCTGAAGTGGCACGGAAGCAAACCCCACTCAATTCTATTCTTTCCACTTTCTGGGGCAAGTTATTTAACATTTCTGTTCAAGTTCCTCAGCTACAGGGAATGAATGGCTAGGGCTGTGGTCCTCCCTCCAGGCTTTCACCTGTGCATAGACGGCCCTGGCCAAGGTCTTCCGATGATTATCTCCGCTGTCAAGGAAGGTCTTGGCAAGTTTCAGAATTCGGTGCAGCATGACTGCTTCACAGTTCTTCACAATGCCACTGGGTGGGGCAGAGGAAGCCAAGAGTTGCTGGGTGGGGAGTGGGCAGTGGTGGAGGGGAGGTGGCAAGGGAACAGTATGCACAGAACAGAGAAAATGTGAAGGCTGAGGTCTGAGAGATGAGCAAGGGAGGGTTACAGGCTGCTGTATTTGAGTGCTGGACCCTGGAAAATTGGGATTGGGGGCTAGAGTGGTATTGGGCATGCTGGGGAAATGGTCCCACCTTGTCAGGTCCATGATCCCTCTGTAGTAAAATTTAGAGGAGGACAGATGATCCCAGCACTTATGCTCATCTGCATAGACCACCACTCCATCGTATGCGGCTGCGAAGAACACAAGCTTCACCACCTCCAGGGCACAACTGAAGGCCAATCGTCACGAGGTTTGTGAAAAGAAAGGAACAGAAGGATGGACAAGGTGTTATGGCCTAGTTTGCATCCTTGTCCTGGCAAGCCAGGAGACAGTTCTCTAATCTGGTGGCTAGCTGGATCCTGCTTTCCAGCTGATGAAAACACATGGCTCTCTGAAACCCATCTCCAATTGTGTCTGCTCACCCCTCAAGCCTTGGTGCTCATCCAACCACAGAGTCTTATAAAAGAGACTATAGAGATGTGCTAGTGCCACAGCTCAAATTCAGCTCTCCATAGTGTAGCAGGGTTAGGATACCTCTTCACCTCCACACCCACCTAACCAGAATGTCTCTGCTTACTGGTTTTCTTTATTTTTTTACTGTAAGATTTCACTTGAATAGAATACCCTGAGGTTTTTTAAAAAGGTCTGAAAACCACTTATTTAGGAGTTCAACACCCTAAACTGCAGTGGTGATTTGCACCAGATGGCGCTGTTAGTGACAAAGCTAAGCCAGAGGTGATCCAGATTCGAATGGCCACAGCTGCACGGAGAGAATTGAATCTCTCATGTGCCGAGTCATGAACAGAGATGTGAACCGCTGGGTGAAGCAGAGGAGTGCATGCAAGGAAAAGGGTAATGAGAAACATGAAAATATGTGGGGACATTCCAGCACGTGATGTTGGGGCACCCACACCGACATTCTAGCTCTGTGCTGCTGTCAGTCTCTTCTTCAGCTTCCCTAGGGGATTGGCATCCAGTTGTCCAAGACCCTCTGGAGTTGACTAGTCTCATTCCTCCATCACACCACGGTTAGGCTTACCTAGTGGAGTCCAAGGTCTTGCCTGAGCCCCCATCCTTCCTGTAGACTACCACATTCTGGGGGGTCTTTTGCTCAATCACCCAGAAGAGATGACATAGCACAGCCAGCAATAGCCGGGGGTAGAGTTCCAGGATGGCCTCCCGGCACAGAGTCCCGGATAGCATCTCACACAAGGCACACGCCGCCTGGGGAGGACACATGGAAAGCAGGAAGCAGAATTGACTAGGTCTGGTAAAGACATAAATGGTCCCACAACCCACACACTGCCCCTCCCTGTCAGTGCCCAAAGGTCACAGTGCACTCTGACTGAGGTTTCTAAGAAGCATCCAAAGACTGAAAGCCCACAGCTCATCCCTGGGGAAATGAGGGGCCACACACATGTAATCTGCTCTCTCTTTATTCCCAAACATTAAAAACAAAAAGGGAACCAACTCTAATTTTTCAGCAGAAAATAAATTGGGCCACCCCATTTCAGACAACCAAACTTCATCCTCTGCGCCTAGCACCGCATGCCCCTGGCCAGGCCCCCAGAAATATGGGTGCCAGACCCAAAATCAGGAGATAGAAAAAGCTGATTAACTCTGAACATCAGTTTCCTTGTCGATGAAATGGGATTGATTCCTGCACTTTCTACATCATGGAGTTCTTGGATGTACAAAGTTCAAGTGCTAACCGTATGTGCAGTACTAGTGAGTCCAGTGTTAACAGTCTCCTCTTAACTGCTCCTTAACAACTGCTCGCACCCAACAGATGCCCTTTAATCATCAGCTCTGCACACAAGTCCCAGACATAAGTCCTCTGCCCACCACCCGCCCTCCCCATGCTGACCTTCACGGGCTCTAGAGCTTTCTCCGTCGTGCCCTCTGTGGAGTGGTTTTCCAGGATGCCTATCAGCAGCTGCAGGACTTTGATTGTGGTCTTTCGCTCGGTGCCGAACACCTTCCACAGGGCCAGAATGGTTCTGCAGGAGCCAGGGACAGCTATGTCATGGGCCCTGGTAATCATATTCTAGTACCAATCTGGTCCTGAGCCTATGAAGGGCCAGTTCTCAGGTTCTAGAGGGAGTGAGGCCCAAGAGGACTTGGCCAAAGAACATGAAGTTTGATTGGCATCAAGAAGAAAGCATCCTTGTGCAGTGATTTTTAACATGGGCTTGGGTTGGAGCAGGGGAGGGTTTACTGGGATGGAGTGTGCTCCTGGGTGTGGGAGAGGTACCTATCCCAAGGGAGGGGCCTGTTGAGCAGCAGGGGCACAACGCTGTGGGTGCTGTTGCCTGCCAGCAAGCACAGGGCCCGAAGGGTCTCCTCCTTTGTGTTGGGCTCCAGCTGCAATTTGAGCCGTTCCAGGATGCCCACCACAATTTCCTCAACCTGCAGGGGAGAGCCAGAAAACCCCGTCAGTCCGTCTTGACTTCCTTCCTTCCTCCTCCCTCTCTACTGAGTCCTCAAACTCAAGGGGCCTAGTTGCAATCCTGTCCCTGACTCTCTTCTTAAGGCAGAGTTCCGGGGTGCCAAAGGCCAGAGCAGCAGTGCCCACAAAAGGGAGCTCGGGCCAAGACCCACTAGAGCAAATGCCTGCCCAGAACCCCCACATCCAGAGAGGTGGTCTGAGATTCCTCAGGAGACAGAAGACCCTCCAGAAGGAAAGCCAAAGCCCTGGAGGCACTCAGGCCTTTCCCTCCCAGCTAAGGTCAACTTCCAGCCCTGAAACTGCAGGGACAGTGGCATTGGATGTGGAAGACCACAGGGTTCTCATCTGGTGCTCAGAGCTCTAAACTATGGACCTCTGGGAAGTCCATTTCATTGTAATATCTCAAGGACTGTCATGGTGCCCTTCCATTTCTGGTACCTAGGCCACGCCAGTCACATAAATGAGTGGAGGCAAAGGGTGTCTGGGGATTCAGATAGAGAAGGGGGTGGACAGCTCATGACACATATAAAGAGGATGGTGGCCACTCAGAGAGTTGCCCTATGTGACCCCATTTTAAAGTTGTTTTTTTCTTAGTGAAGTGAGGAACAGATTTCTAAATGCTAGGCCTTCCCATATTTATGCTAGCTTAAAAGAACATTTATACATAGGTCAGTCATTCTGTGAGCTTCCTTGTTTCCAATCCACAGCCTTACCCCTTCACATAGGTCTAAGCTTCCAGGGGGTCGGGGTGAGTCCCCCAACAATGCCTACACCCCTGCACATGGCTGTCATTACTGAGGAATCGGCCGCCCAGATAGGAGGCACTGCAGTTACAAGCTCAGGATTACAAATGTCAGAGCTCAGTGGGACCACAGAGGAAATGTAATGCAAGCCTACATTTTAGAAGTGAATGAATTAAAGCCAGCTGAGGAGAGGGACTTGGCTACAGCCCTTTGGCTGCTTGGTAACAGAGCCAGGACATGAGCCAGTGCCCCTGACATTCAGGGCAGAGCTCCCACCCAGCACCACACTACCTTTATCAAATCTGAGCCCCGCTTTTTCATGACAGCGCTCATCAACTGGGCTGCAGCCAGAGACACCTTAGCCCTGCTGCCCGTCAGCTCCTCCATGGCTGTCAGCACCAGGTTGGTGAGCTGGCTCTGGGTGAAGTACTCTGCAAAGGCCTGCAACAGGGTGGGATCACATGGTGCGATGAGTCTGGATGCAGGGCTCCCCCTGCCTGAGACAGCCTGTGCCATTCCTCCTGGTGAGGGAGGGCTTCTCTTGGGAGCTCCTGTGCTTCTGTCCTAGGCTTGTGCTATCTCCCTAACTCCTAGAAGACCCTTTCCTGGGGACAGAGTCCTGGGGATGGAAGGGAGGAAACAGTGGTCTCAAGTGCAATGTGGGGCTCAGAGGTCAGGGGGTGCAGAGGCAGAACCCCGGGAGAGGAGGGCTGGGGCTAAGATCCTCAGTGACATCTCTGAGTCTACACATTGCTCACAAAGCAGCATTAGCATGAAGCAAATGCTTCTGGGGGACAGGGAAAGACAAGGATCAGGACCATTGATGCTCAAGGAGGGACAAATAGTAGCATGTGATAGGAAAATTTCCCCCAAAGGAAAAGTTCACATCCAGTAATAGAATGGGGAGAGAGACAGGATAGGAGTCCCACCCAGGAGTCTATAATAGCGTGTAAATGAGACGCCCAGGCTTCCCTCACTTTGTCTCTGGTCCTGCTCCCTCACCTCGGCAATTTCAAAGGTGTTGTTATAGAACAAGTTGGCACTATACACTTCATCCATGTCCTCTTCTATCCACAAGCCTTGTATTTTCTTCTTCATCTCTGAAACAGAGACACCCAGCCCCACCTCTCAGACACTCAGAAGGCATGTTAAACTCCCCCTTTCCCACCTTCTAGCCCAAAGCTCCTACTGAATTAAGTCAGCTTGGGGCTATGTATGTCCTTTGGGGCTGGGAGTAGAGGAATGGGCATTAAGGTAAGAAATGGTGGGAGCTGAGGTAAAAGACAAACTATCTTGCCTGCCTCAGAGCAGAGATAGAATTGGGTAAAAGGATGGGGCTGAGCCAAAAACGAAGAAACTAATTCCAAAGAAGTATTTCCTATGTAGGTATTTTTTCCCAAGAGATTATCTGTAGATGTTTGGGTGTAAGTTCCTCAATGGAAATGAGGTACTCAAGCAGCTTCTTGGCTCTCACTGTCTTGGGACGAGTGTGTGGGGATGGCCAGGCCTAAGTGTGTGGTTGGAGGGGGAGTGGTAAGAGCAGGTTCCTCATACGCTTTTTCTTCAAGAGGATACAGTAGAGGTGATACACAGCCTTGGCAGACAGGAAGCAGATGCTGTCCACTGGGTCCTGGCAGCGCATGGCCAGCAGCTTTACCAAGCGCCCCAGCCGGGTGAATTCAATTTCCATCTGGGGAAGGAAGCTGGAAGTCACAAGTTATCCCAGCCATTCCCTTAGGCTGAGCTATCACAGGAAGAACTCAGAGGAGGAAATGCATGTGCCAGAGACATGAAAGGTGAGACTATGTGAGGTTAATGGGAATGGAATTAGATAGATGAGTTGTGGCCATAAAGGACATCAGAGGTCATCGTTTTATAATTACCTTACTCTATCCCCCTTCTTTGCCCCTTGACACCCCACTCATCTGTCAAATCTAGTTCAATGCCGCCTTCTCTATGAACCTTTTCCTGCCCCCTCAACTTGTAATTGTTTGTTTTGATCTTTTAGTCCCACTGTATTCACTTTATATATTCATTATCACCTGCTATTTAAGTTTGTTCTATGTATGCCTCTGTCCCCAGTGGACTGTAAGTTTCATGAAATCAGAAACTATCTTGGTCATCCGTGCATTCGCTATAGCACCTACCACAGTGCCTGGCACAAGGCGAGTGTTTAGTCATTGCTTGTTCAGACAAATAACATCAGACTGAACCATGTGAGATGAAATAAAACTGATGGTTGGAGAAAAAGACCAAGTAGAAGATGACAGAAGGGAGAAAGGAGAGAACAGGATGGGATGCACAAGAGAAAACAGCATGGGCCACAGAGAATGAGGATGAGAATGAGTGACTGAGGCTAGGTAATATATATGATGAAGGTAGGGGTAAGGGCAACCAGACAGGGTATGAGAATTCAGACTCCAGGGCCGGCTCCCACTCACACTGAAGTCCTCCATTTTTGCTGTAAACTCCAGAATACGCGCAGCACACCACATGGCCCGTTCCCGCTCGTTATCCTTCTTGGAATTGAGCCAAGGATCCATAATCTGGAGGAAGAAGATAATGAAAGGAGAGGCCCTTTCATCTGTGTCCCAGAGAACAGAAAGATATTCTTGAACCTGGCTTTTACAAAGTTTTAGGGCAAGAGTTCTGACAGCAGGACCTCTTTTGCCAAGAGGCAGGTTATATGTGGGTGGCACCAGAGGTTTCATTCTCTCCTCTCTCCTATCAAGTATACACGATATTAAGTCTTCCAGCCCCATATTTTCCCTTCGTTTAGGTGATAGAAATCTCCTCAATTCCAACCCCCTTCCTTCAGGTTCAACAGTGGCTCCCAAAATATATCCACTCTATGCACTTCAGTGATTCAACATACCTCTGAGTTCTCCTACCCTCCGCCTCCCATTCTTCAGTAGAAAAAATACTTGGTGATAAAAAATAACAGTCACTGCATTCACAGATTCCAGAGTAAAGTGTGTGTAAATCTATTTGAAAAATATCATTATAAATGGTTTCACTTGAAACACAATGGAAAAGTGTCTCACCTTTGGTTAATTATGGGTCCTAAATACCACTGCTACTTGTCAATCTACAGTCATAAATCTGGCAATGATGCAACCACACAGACCGTGATATATAATTGAAAAAGAAGAAGAGTAGCAGGTGAAAAATCCACAACCAACTCAAAAGAACACTGATGCTGCACTGACCAGAAGAAACACGTCTTGCCCTAGTCAGTTTGGCTCAGTGGATAGAGGGTCGGCCTGTGGAGGGTCCTGGGTTTGATTCTGGTCAAGGACACATGGCCGGGTTGCATGCTGGATCCTCATTAGGGGGTGTGCAGGAGGCAGCCAATCAATGATTCTCTCCCATCATTGATGTTTCTCTCTCTCTATCCTTCTCCCTTCCGCTCTGAAATCAATTTTTAAAAATTGTTGAAAACTGAATAAAGTCTATGTCTTACAATGGTGTGTCAACATCAATTCACTATTTTTTTGTTTTTTAAATATGTTTTTATTGAATTTAGAGAGAGAGGAAAGGAGAGGGAGAGAGATCAAAACATTGATCAGAGAGAAACATTGATTGTCTGCCTCCTGCACACACCCTCAAACCCCCTCACTGGGATCAAGCCTGCAACCCAGGCATGTGCCCTGGCTGGGAACTGAACCAGTGACCTCTTGCTGCATGGGCCACTGCTCAACCACTGAGCCATACTGGCTAGGAAATTCCGTGGTTTTAATAGAAGCTTTATGTACTATTTATGCAACTCCCAGTGAATCTACAATCCTTTCAAATTTAAAAGTTAAGAAGAAAACCAGTAGCAAAATAATTACAAGCAGTCCAATATCCATCCATAGAGGACTGATTGAATAAACTATATTACATGCACACAATATATGAAACCATAAAAAAAGGAATATATCTGTGAACTGATGTGGATAAATGAAAACAGCAAGGCCAAGAGCACTGAATAGAATGTGCTAACTGTGTAAAACAGAAAGGGAAATAAGAATATAGCATAAACAGAGATTTGCTTATTTTCACAATAAGAAAAACAGGCATGACAAACCAGAAGTTAATGAAAATGGTTATCTATAGAGGGTGAGTGGGAGCAAAAATTCTCTGAGTAAAACTTTACATGGTTTTACCAGTAAGTTTTTAATTATGTAAATCTTTATATCATCAAGCTCTTCAGTTAAGTAAAAGAAAAACCCTAAAATTTAAGACAAACAAGTCTAAATTATATCAATTGACAATATAATCATACAAAAAATATTTCAAGTAACTTTTGAACGCAATACTCTGAATATAGTCCTCAGTCACCTATATTTTAATAACACGGGAACTGCAAAGAAATCTTGAACTCCCTGTGGTAACTGGGGAATAGCAATTTCAGGGGAAAGCCAAAGTATCCCAATGACATAAGCATAGAGTAAATCAAGTCAATAAAAAGACAATTTTAAAATGGGCAAATCATTTGTACCTGCACCTCACGTCTCTGAGCCAAGCACTTTGTAAACATCTCATTTGATTACCAAATGACTGTATTAACTAGGTACTATATGTCATTCCAGTTTCCAAGAGAAAACTGAGGCAAACAGAAGTTAAACAACTTCCCAAGACCACACAGCAAACAGCAGAGCCACGATCTGTAACCATAGTGTATGGCAGTCCAGAGCCGATGTTTTTACCTGATAACTGCTATGCGGGAGCAGTGGGCAGCTGAGAGAGAAGCTGGCCACAGCTATGGCTGAAGGGGAAGAAGGAGGAAGCTTTCTCCTCTAAAGGCAAGACCAACATTAGTTATTCGATCTTAGCCCTTATTATCATTTCCCTAAAAGCTTTGCACCCACACTTCATCAGCAGTTCCACTTCTTAGTTTTTCTTACTGTGAAAATAAACAGTCCCTAGACAGTTCTCCTGGTCAGTTCCCAACTGTACCAGGTCGATAGTGTTCCCCCAAAATTCATGTCCACTCAGAATCTCAGAATGTGACCTTGTTTGAAAATAGGGTCTTTGCAGATGATTCAAATTAAGGTGAGTTCATACTGGATTTGTGGGTCCTAACCTAATGACTGCTGTCCGTATTAAGAGCCCTAGTGGGTTTGGCTCAGTTGATAGAGGGTGGCCTGCAGACCAAAGGGTCCTGGGTTGGATTCCAGTCAAGGACACATGTCCAGGTTGTGAGCCCAATCCTCAGTGGGGGTTGTGCAAGAGGCATCCGATCACTGATTCTCTCTTGTCATTGATGTTTCTCTCTCTCTCTCTCCATCTCCCTCCATCTCTGAAATCAATAAAAACATATTTTTTTAAAAAAAGAGGGGACACACACACACGCACGAATGCCCTGTGAAAATAAATGGAGGCACAGATTGGAATGATATGTCTACAAGCCAAGAGATACCATGGGTTGCCAGGAGTTACCAGAAACTAGGAGAGATGCACAGAACAGATTCTCCTTCAGAGCCTCCAGTAGGAACCAAACCAGCCACAACTTTGATTTTGGACTTCTGTCCTTTACAACTTGAGAGAATGTATTTCTGTTGTTTGATGTCACTTCCTGTGGTATTTTTTTATGGCAGTTCTAGGAAATGAATACACCAACGTTCAGGGGCTTCCTCCCACGAACCTGCAAGCAGTTCTGGATCCGGGTGGGCATCTCCACAATAAGTGTCTCCATTAGTCTTAGGAGAGATTCCATGGTCCCCTCAAACAGATCCTGAGGGGGAAAAGAAACTCAAAAAATTGCCAACCTATCAGCCCCAACCCTCCTTCTAAACTGCTCAGCATTCTGGCTCTCCCAGCCTTCCTTGAGAAAGCCTGATCCAAAAACTTCCCTACATTAAAGCACTACTGGCCCATCATTCACTTCAATAAATCCTTCTGTTGTTTCACCAGAGCACAAATGTCTGCCTGGTGTGTAGTTTGTCCTGGTGGAATGGAAGTTCCCCTGCAACGTAGCTACCCTGCCTCCTCCATCCTCACTCCCTAACTCTAGCTCATCTGGGACTCTGGTCCCAGGGGTTACAGCTTCAGTAAGCAACCAGGACTGGCAGGCTAGCTGGTTCCAGGTGGGAGGAGGACTGGCCTGGCTGTCTGCAGAGTAACTGATTCACAAAAGCTAGGATAGTGGGTTTCTCCCTCACATCCTTTAATGAACCAAGTGGCCTTGCCCAAAGCCTTATAAAGAGAGTAGGTGATCTGCCAAGGAGGGCTTCTAAACGTAGGGCCTGCTGGGAGAACCAGAGCAACATTGTGATAGATCCCAGCCACTAACACTGAAAAGCAGGGGGGAAAAAAGAAAGCCAGCTCTCCCTGGAATAAAATACTCAGAAGAAACCTACCTAGGTGTAAAGCTATTTGTACTGGGCAGCTGGAAATCCCAGTTTGCTCCAACTACTGGGAAGTCCTGTCAAATTAACTTCCTCATCCAAATCAGATTTACACGGAGGGAGGCCATAGAAAACCCACCTCCGCCTTTTCTATATGTACCAGTCTTTCCTTCATGACATAACTATGAACTAAAAAATAAGGATTACCAGAAATCGGATGAAAAGGAGGCCCAAGATGAACAAACCAACTGACCTTAAAGAAAATCAAGCTAATTTGGTAAATAATAGAAACCTGTATTTTTAAATTCTCTTTAATATCTTCAGAAACATTTCAAGAGACTATGGCATCAATAAAACAAGAACAACCAGGCAAGATAAAGGTGTAATCAGAACACATGAAAGAATTCCTAGGAATTAAATATATGAATATAAATTAAAAATTGAATCCCTCTTTCCTTCCTCAAGGAAACACTGCAGGCCCTATAAGAAATAGACTCTGATTGCTTGATCCTGGGATTCCCTGGATTTACGTACATATCAACCCGTTACTAAAATCATATTTGAATCTTCTAGTCTCATTTCAATCACACAGCAGTTATAAAGGGGAGGATCAAGTGTCTGCCTTGGGGCCAGAGTGTTGAAGTGGTGGCAGTGGTAATCAACGGGTAGAAGGAGGAAGTTAGATCTCAGGAGTAGAGTTCAGACAACATGACCTAGCAACCTCTTCTTCACAGGAGGGCTTCCTTCCAATGATTTTGTGTTTTTATTAAAGAAGGCAGAAGACTATTACATAAAACTGCCAAACCTATACTTCCTAACCTCTTAAAAAAAATAAAAAATGAAGCCAAAGAGACAAACATCAAAGAGTTACTTACCACATTGGCCTGGCCCTCCTTGGGACTAGATGCCTCCTTTCGTAACACTTCAATGGATGGCAGACAGAACACACTCTTGAAGCATGTTCCCAGGAGCTCTACTCTTTCTTCTATCTCTAAGAGGGGCCTGAGCATCCTAAGATCCAGGGAGAAGAAGTGTAACCAGTGTTGTCAGGAATAACAACAGAAAAGGGTATAGAAAGAGAAGATGGAGACAGAGGAATAAGTGGGAGCAAGAAAGAGGAAGATATCAGAAGAAAGGGTATTAAAAGAAGAAAGGGAGTAACAGTAAGAAAGGGTGAAAAGAGCCAGGAAGATGGAAAGAAACGAACTATAGGAAAGAGAGGAGGCATGACTATTACAGGAAAGGGTACTGCTAATTTGGGATGATATATTATTCCTTGTTAGATTCCCAGAGCTTTTGAGAGAAAGGGACATCACTGATGGAGATGGAGGTGCCTATCAGGGACAGGGCTGAAAGCAAAAGGATGCCTGGGGCAGAATTAATAGCAAGTGCCTATGGAGATAGGAGAGGCCATCTCTCCAGGGTCCTTTGAAAATCCAATTCAAAAAATCTTGGCCAACACTAGTGGCAGATATTGTCCAGTAAATTCCTACTATTCCCTTATGCTAGAAGCAGAAGCAGAAAATAAGAGGTGGGGATCAACTAGGGAAGAAAGAGCTGCAATAGAACCAGGTCAAGGAAGACAGAGTGGATGGTGTGTTGTTACCTGAAGTTATTGATGACGTTCATTGCCTTCTGTCTAATAGGGCTGGAAATGGAGTTCAATGGCTCCTCCTTGATTAGGTCCTAACACACACACACACACACACACACCCCAAAAGGATGGTGAACATATTTTTCTTGTTTGCTTCTGCCTCCTCCCACTCCAGGCTGTGTTCATAAGAAGGTGGAATTTAGAATTTTTAGTGACTTCCAAAGGCTCTGAGGACAGCACCTCTCTCCTACTCCTACTCCCCACCACACCTTCCCTACAGTACTCACCCCAGCCTTGAGGATGGCAAAGGGAACACTAAGGCGGGAAAAGGAAAATCTGGGCTTTTACCTTCAGCTCTAGCCTAGGAGTGCCACCAATGGTTTCCATGTGGACCCATCCTCCCTCCTCTCTGCATTCCCACCTCCATCCTCCTGCAAGATACTTACCAGCATGAAGGTAACAATTGCTAGCTTGTGGGGGAACTTGAATTGAAAGGCCACGTGCTGCTGCCTGCCCAGGGTTTTTGTCAGTATGATGAGGGCATTCAGGTAACCCAGCTTCAGGTCCTTATCCTGAATGAACCAGTATGCTCAGGGTTCTCCAAGGTGGCAATGGATCTGGGCCAGGGCACACTACCTACACAGTCTGGGGGGTGAGGACCTAAGCCTTCTTTAGCCTTCCTTAGGCTGCTGCTCTGCATCTTCCCTCTGAGGGTAGACCAGTGCATCCCTGTGGTGGAGAGAGCCACTCCTCTCACCAACCCCCTTCTGAAGCCACCCTCATGTGACTCTGAAATTAGGATAGATCAAGCTTCCCGGTCTCTCAAGGTATTGTCTTTCCCTTGAACACGTTTTACCAAAAGATATCTGACTTGGGAATGGAAAGGGATTCTTCTCCAACCCTGGGGACCCATGCTTTGGACACATAGCAAAGGCAGGAAAGCAGTATGGAGCTCCTGTGCCTCTCCTGAATGCTTCTTCCCACAAACACTAGGGAATTTAGGTTTTACTCATCCCTTCATCCGAGAGGGCAGTGAAGAGCTCACTGGCAGGTTACGAAGCTCTGTCACAGGGAAGGACACACTTTGAAACAGACCTAAAGTTACTGTGGTCTCCTCCTTGGGCCAATTAGAGTCTCCAAGTAGCAGGGTTAAGTGAAAGGATGAAAATGTGGGAGAAGTCACTGTACTAGCCCCTGACTCCCATTTAAGGCCAAGCACCTTTTTCTTGGGCGGTAAGAGAGGACGTGGCAGAAATGGAATGCAGGAGAAGTAGAGTAAGCAGGAAGTACCTTTTCCAAAATGCAGTTGTGGTAGTGTTGCAGGATCAAGGCCAGCACGGCATCGAAATGCATGAAAATATCTCCCTTGCTCTCTAAAATAATCTTGCTATAGCTTAAGTAGATGGTGTGACACACAAGTACCCATTCCCTTCGCTGATGTTCCTGTAGGGGGGAGGGGGAAACAGAGGTTCAGAGAGGAAAAGGTTGCTCAGAGGATTTGGGAAAGAAGATGGGACTGTGGGATGGCGAGCAGCTTGGGGGACAGGGTGGGCATGTAGCTGGTGATACCAGGGCCTGAAATGCAGGGCAAGAGAAAGGGATCGAGGATGAAACTTTCCCACAGTTGTTTCCAGGGAAAGAGAAGCTTTTATAGATGAGTCACAAGGCCTCAGAGAAATGGGAGGCTGGGGTGATGGGGATGCCTTGGAAGGCTTTGTATGGGAGGCTGGTAGAGCACCCTGGGAATGACATCACCTTTGCCAGTGTGAGGATGGACGATGACTCCTTGTCAGTGAGTACAGCACTATACACTTTCAATTTCTCCAGGACTGTCCTCAGATGTTTCCTGGACACGACGCTGAATGCCACAGCAATGCCCTGTAACAAAGAGAGCCTCAACCCCATGCCACAGTTCAGGGTGAACCAGACACATGCTATGTTCCCCCACAAGCAGGATATACATAGAGGAAGGGGAAGGGAAAGGAGAGGAAAGAAATGGAAGGGAATTTGGTTCTCCACATTTGAATTATTTAAAATCCGGGTGAAGAACCAAATACCTTTGCGAGAAGTAATTTAAGAAGTCAATTATTAAGAAAAATCATAGTCACAGATTTACAAAATCTTGGTATTGTCAAATCTAACCCTGTACATTTGAGAATACTTTTATAGGCACTAGGAATTCAGAGAATGGTTGCTCTGAGGAGGGAACAGAAGGAAGAACAAATCCCAGGCACCTTGCTGACAGGATTGGATAGCTAGTCAGAGAGGAGATGGAAGACAGGGAAGACTTACAGATAATGCTAATATTTCTAGTTTAGGAGAACAGGAAACATCAGTAACTCTGACCAAAACAGGCAGGTGAAAAAGAGGCCTGTCTACGTTGGAGAGAGAGAGAAAAGAGTGAGTTTCTGAGTGTGTTGTATGGGAGATCACGGCAAAACAACTCAGTGGTAATGTTGTCAGTGTCAGTGGGTTTGGGAATCACAACCTAGAGAGAGTCAAAAGCATGAAGACTTGGGGATTCTGTGGTTCCTGCCAGGAACAGTCTTTAACTTAACCCCTCAGCCTCATAGCAGGCCCTTTTGACTTCAGTGTCAGCTGAGTCCCTCCCTAGAGCTTACTGAACAAGGATGACTGGGCACAGAGCTAAGAAAATGCTCAAGCAGACATTCAGGTGCCAGCTGTTGGCAAATTGGCTCATTTGTGCTGGAAGGGCCACCATTCAGACTTTGCAGCAAGAGCAGACAGATGGAGGGAGCCTCGGGACAGTGACAGGCTCCAGCACACAGATCATGGAGAGGGATGAAACTTTAGTGGGACTTGTAGACCATTGGATATCAGGTAGATAAAGGGAAATTTTTATCTCTTTAGAAAAGAGGGGCTAGTGGAGCATCAGAAGGGGGTTCTATTCTGTCCCTCTTCTTATGTCCTCCCTTAGCCATGGCTACCACTCCTTCTGGTCATCATCATCATATATCATCATCATAACTGACATCATCAGAACATCAGTGCTTAATGTTTACCAGCCTTATACATGTTACTTGATTAATCCTCACTAATGCAATGAGGTAAATATTGTCGTCCCCATTTAACAGTCAGGGAAATTATGTTTCCCAAATCTAGACACGTAGCCCAGGTTTGAGTTCCAGGTCTACATGCTTCTGTGCATGTCCACCTGACACTGCAACCCCTCCCAGTCAAAAACTAAGTACATCTACTTCCTCCCCCTTTGTCCTGGGTTCCTGGTCTTAGGGAAGGATACCATTCTCCTCCCACTTGGACCAGAAACCCAAGAATCATCCCAGATGCCCTTTCCCCTCTTAACTTTATCTTCTGCATTCAATCTGTTCCCAAGTGCTAGCAAGAGGTCACTTTTACTTCCTTGTCAAAGAACACTGCACTCCAGTCCCACTGGACCACTGACTGTTCCCTAGATGTGCTCCCCAACGTCTTGATCCTGAATCTTGACTCAGAATGTTATGTCAACTGGGAATACCTGCCTCCCTCCTTCTCCTAAACTCGCCCCAACCAACCCAAGTCCCAGCAAGCCTCAATGCCACAATGACTGCTCATGTAGCCTTTAGAAGGCCATTGAGTATAGTTAGCCGTTTCCTTCCTGTATATGTCTTTCTCCTCATTGATACTGTTTGCAACTCAGGCTTAGTAAATACCTGTTGCTGATTGTGGACCTGATGGATGCTCTGGGAATCTGGCAGGAGAAGGGCCTTGGAGAGGGAGGTCCTAGGGCATGAACACCAGCACTACCAGTAATCAGCAAGTAGAGAGTGCTTATGTACCAGCATTGCTCTTAGTGGTTTTACATTTTAATTCTCAAAACCATCCTACAACACACATCACTTCTGTGGTATTCCACCAACAATGCACACTCTGAATCTAATCATGACAAAATATGAGACAAACCAAAACCGAGAGACATTGTACAAAATAAGGGGTCTGTGCATTTTTAAAATGTCCAGGCCATGAAAGATAAGGTTAGGAACTTGTTCCAGATTAAAGAAGAATAAAGAGAAATGACAACTGAATGCACGGCTTGATTCTGAATTAGACCCTGGAGTAAAATAATAAAAAAAAAGAATATTTTTCTTTTTCTCGAAAACACATTGTTGGGACAATTAATGATTTTCAAACTGGGTCTATAATTTACATATCAGTGGTGTAGCAATGTTAATTTCCTGATTTTGATCATTGCACTGTGCTTATGTAAGAGAATATCTTTATTTTTAGCTACTAGAGTATTTAGGGGTAAATGAGCTTCATGACTGCAGCTTTCATTTCAGATTTAAAAAATATAGTAATAATGTTAGTAAATAAATTATGTAATTTATGAGAAAGAGAATGATAAAGCAAACATGGAAAAACATTTATATTTTGGGAATCTGGGAGAAGAATAAATAGGAATTCTTTAGGATATTTTTGCAACTTTCCTCTAAATATAAAATTACTTAAAATTCAATAAATCTTTTAAAGAAATATCCTATCAGGAAGGTACCATAGCCTTGTCTTAACGAGGAGGAAACTGAGGCACAGAGAGGTTCGGTAACTTGCTCAAGGGCACAAAGCGAGTAGGTGGCAGAGCTGGAACTCTCACCCAGGTGCTCTGGTTTGCCAGGCCCAAGCTTTTAGCCACCTTGCCATCCTGACTCAACCTGAAAATGCTTGGCCAATGCACTCTGCCTCACCTCCCTCTCCTGCACGTTTTCATGGGAAGTTTGAAGGATGGCGGAGAGCATCATCTTCACCAGTTTCTCACTTCTTGAGGTCCACAGGGCGAAGCCAAAGAATTTATAGAGAAAAGCCTAGGAAAGGTAGGAGGGCAGGGTCACGCATAGCTTGAAATGAGGGTAGGGCAGCATTTCCTATACTAGCCACCACCTTTGCCCACAGCCCCATCCTCCACCCTGGCCCTTGCTCTCTAGAGGCATCTGGATAAGGCAGTGATCATAAAGAGCAGGGGTTCAAGTTACAGGGAAGAGAAAGCTGCCTTTCCAATGTCTCAGCCTCTTAGGGATGATCCTTTAGGAACTTTCTCTGACCCCCATACCTCCCACTTACAGCTAGGAAATTTAAAAAGTTCCTTAAACTTGCATAACTTTAAAACCAAAATTGTATAATTGAAGAAGAACTTTTATGTAATTCTTCTTTCTCCCTCCTCTGAATTTCAGTGGCCTTTATCCTTGCTTACTGCACACTGTCCTGTCTACCTTGTAATACCAGACTGTGTGGACTCACCACTCCCTTCTTCAGGGTCTCTGTATTCCCCATTTTCTCTGAGTAGAACCCTCTTCCCCAGGCTCTTCAAAATGTCTCATTCTCTTGCCCAAACCGGTTTGGCTCAGTGGATAGAGCGTCCGCCTGCGGACTCAAGGTCCCCAGGTTCGATTCCGGTCAAGGGCATGTACCTTGGTTGCAGGCACATCCCCAGCAGGCACATCCCCAGGAGGAGGCAGCTGATCGATGTTTCTCTCTCATCAATGTTTCTAACGCTCTATCCCTCTCCCTTCCTCTCTGTGAAAAATCAATAAAATATATATTTTTACAAATGTCTCATTCTCATCTTTCAGATATCACCTCAGTGAGCCTGCTCTGACCTCCGAAGTCCCTCTCCAGCTCATCACCGTTTCCTTCTTTCAGGGCTTTATCATAATCTCTCATCTTGACTGTGGATTTGTTCCGTTAGTTCCCAACTTGCACCAACCCCACAACTCAGGTGAGAATGGAGCTCAAGAGCAGTGTCTACCCAGTTCATTACTCTGCCCCATTGCTATCAGTGCCTGAGGCAGTAGGCAAACAGGACATTCCGGCTGTACAATGAATGCCTTAACTCCCCCTCTTATGGGTATCTTTTCCCTCTAGCAGATGCTCATGGTGCCTTGCCCAGACCTTAGGGTTCCTTCCCTTCAACTGGCTGCAGGAACTTTTCTGAACAGCTACTCCCTGCAGCCTTGGGGGAGAACTGTCCTGAGGTGACTGGGGCCTCCTTACCCCAGATGCTCAGGCGCTACATTGTTCTCTCTCCCCTCCCTGCACAGGACCAACCTTGGAAACCTGGGCCAATGACAAACAACCTGGGGGGCAGAGGGTACAAAAGCTCCCTCACTTGTCTCCAGGCAGGATAGACTCTGCAGTTTCCATGCAGGGCTCCCATGGGATCAGGCCACATCCTGGCTTGGCTTCTCCTCTCCCCTATCCTGTGCCCTTCACTCTATCACAAGTTCTCCTGAGAGCATTTCCTCGCCAAGTCACTTGACAAGAATCCTCACCTTAGGCTCTGCATCAATTAAACCTGACCTAAGGCACCTACTTTTCTGCTTCACTGGCAAAGACTACTCATCTTCCCAGACTTATCCACTCCTCTGCAGGAGACTTGTCTTCCCATTTTGCCCAGGACTGAGGCGGTTCCCCGGACACTGAACTTTCAGGACTAACATCAAAACAGTCTTGAGCAAACCTAAACAGCGGATCGCCTCTGACAAAGCTTCTCTGCCCAGCCCCCTCAGGCCTCCTCCCTGCTTCCAAGCACACAGTGCATATTTCCACCCTGACACCTACAAGGCTTAGAATAATTGCCCACTTTCTTGTCTATTCACTCAAGCAGATGATGCTTTCCTGAAGACAGAGGCTGATTTTACATGAATACCTTGGGCCCAGCCCAGTGTCTGCTCTGCTCTACGCATTTAGTGCACTTCTTTTTTAATCCTCATCCAAGGATATTTTTCCATTGATTTTTTTTAGAGAGAGTAGAAGGGAGAGGGAAAGACAGGGAGAAATATCAATGTGAGAGAGACACCTCAATTGTTGCCTCCAGCACACGCCCTGAACAGGGACCAAGAAAGGGTGGAGTCTGCCACCAAGGTATGTGGCCTTGACTGGAATCGAACCCGGAACCCTTCGGTCTACAGGCCAACGCTCTATTCACTGAGCAAAACCAGCTAGGGATAGTGCACCTTTTAAATAACTGAATTAAAAAGATCACAATTCTCTCTTGCTTCATTTTGTGTCCCTAATCTACCAACCACAAAGATGTGCATACATTAGGTGCTTCATAAGTACTGTTAATAATAAGAGAGCAAACCGTCTTAGAAATAAGGCCTCTTTCCTGGAAACCTCCAGAGCTCAAATAAAGTATTTCTCGGTGACAGGAAAACAGGAATCAAAATCAAGAAACCTGGATTCAGGCCCTAGCCAGTTTGGCTCAGTGGATAGAGTGTTGGTCTGTGGACCGAAGGGTTCGATTCCAGTTAAGGGCACATATCTCGGTTGCAGCCTCCTCCCTGGCCTGGTCCTTAGTCAGGGCATATGCAGGAGGCAACCAATTGATGTGTTTCTCTCACCTAGATATTTCTCTTTCTGTCTCTCTTCCACTCTCCCTAAAAAATCAATGGGAAAATATCCTCAGGTGAGGGAGGGAGGAAGGTAGGAAGGAAGGAAGGAAGTAAAGAAGAAAAAAAGAAAGAAAGGAAGAAAAAAACTTGGATTCAGGTGCCAGTTTTACCAATAATTTTCTTAAGATTTTAAATCCTCCTGGATTGTCTTTCTTCAACATCAAGGTAGAGATGACAACAGCTATAGGTTATTTAGGCTAATATTTTAAAAATCTTTATTGTTGACACTTTATTAAGACTAAATTGGGAGCACATGGAAAAGCCAGGGCAGGACCCCAGGCCTTCACCACCAACAACCTTGCACTCTGTGAGGAAAGGAGCCCATATTTCTTCCTCAACTCTGTATCCCCAACATGAAGCACAGTCTATGGCAGTGATGTCAAACCTATGACACGCGTGTCAGAGGTGACAAGTGAACTCATTTTTTTGGTTGATTTTTCTTTGTTAAATGGCATTTAAATATATAAAATAAATATCGAAAATATAAGTCTTTGTTTTACTATGGTTGCAAATATCAGGGTTTTTCAAAAAGCTGACACGCCGAGCTCAAAAGGTTCGCCATCACTGGTCTATGGGATGCCCTCAAATATTACTTCAATTGACTGCTTAAATAGGACTCTAAAATCAACAATCTTTCCACTGCACCAAGTACAAGCTTCATTCTATTAAGACTATTAGGAGGTTTCAATGAAGACAATAGATGGCAAAGTTCTTGATAAAGCCTAAAAGGCTAAGCAAAAGTAAGACACTTTTGATATTTTTGTCATGCCAGTGTGACGACCAGTTTGTGGTCCTCTCCACCCCTTGATTGCCAGGATGCAGGAACACTGGTTTATTTTTTCCCCAAGGCCTTTACTCATTCACATTTCCTCAGGCACCTGTGTGAGCACCAGGTTTCTTCAGCACCATCCTCCACCTTCAATGCACTCCCCCCGCCCCCACATTGCAACCACCACACACCCAGACAAACCTTCTCATCACCATCATCACTGAAATAACGGATCCTCTCCAAGATGACTCTGATGAGTTGCTCCTGCCAGCGGTCATCATCAATAGCCACTAATGACTGACTCAAAAACTGAGGAAGAAGAAGGGAGAAGAGGACCACAAAGGACAGTGGTAGGCTGTTCTGCTCCACAAAAGTGGGGTCAAGAAGAAGCAAGAGACAGGGGTTATGGCCTGTAAATATGGATAAAGAGGTGAAACACATGGTGGGAGTTAGGACTGAAGAATGACATTACAGTGACAATGATGGTAATGCCAATTACATGTGTGAAGCCCTTTCCAATTTACAAGGTCCTCTCTGATATCATCCTTTTTAATTCTGGGAGGCAGGAGTTACTTCCATTTAACCCATGAAGAACCTGAGACATGCAAAGGCTAAATACCTTGCCCAAGGACATACAGCTATGGCCCTTTCCCTTACTCCCCCTTGATATAGGGTTGTAAGGGTATGGAAGGGGGCTCAAGACTTAGCACATAGTCAAATACTCTGAGGCAGAGGCCAGGAGGCAAGGGGACCACAGAAAGAGATTTGTTTGAGCAGTTAGGCCCTTGATCATGACCTCAGTCTCTGGGGGCCTGGTGATATCCTCCCTCAGATACTTGAAGATGGGAAAGAAGGCAAGTGTGGAGGGAGGGAGGTCTTGGGGAGTGCTTACCAGGAACAGCCTGTCCACCCACTCCTCCTGATTCAGGCTCTTCTCAGTATGATCTAGGAAAGGAGAGAGCATGGGGACCCACTCAACCGGAAGGTCCCAGCCAGGGAGAAGAAAACATTTAAGTACTATGCGGCACTCAGCCTACAAGGTAACTGCTCTCCCACTTTCCAGAGCCTCCAGAAGATGAATGACTTTCCAAAGGTCAAATACACACAGCTGACCAGTGTCAGAGCAAGGATACAAAACTGGTCTGTTTCCAAAGCCCACACTCTTCCCTGATCTTCTGCCCATAAGCAAGTGCAGGAGTCATTCTGGGAACCCTGGAGCCACAGAACTTTGGACTGTGTTTCTGCTCAGTTCACAACATTGCCCCCAAAAGCAGACCCATCCAATAGCACCTCAAAGGGACAGAGAGACTGGTTCCAGTTCTCCTCACCCTAAGGAAGGTCCATCCTGCACCTGGGGACGCCATCTCTTTTGGAGTCTGGCCACTGTCCCAGCTTCATTCCTCCCCCTGCTAACCAAGCCCTTACCATCCAGTATCTCCAACATCTGTGGGATCACCTTCCTCCACAGCTGGCCAACACTGTGGTTTATAATAGGATGCAGAGAAGTGATAGGATGCAGGGCAGATAGTAGCCTCAGAGAGCTTGTACCAAACTCCTTTTCCCTGTAGGGCTTCCGGGAACACATCTGAGAAGCAAGCAGGAGGCAGAGAAAATATTTAAAAGAAGAAAGAAAATGAAAGCAAATCCATAGAATGGTAGAGCTGGAGCTTAGGCCCTGCCCATTCTTTGCCACCTGTTGAACTCCTACATCCTCCCAGATGCTCTGGAAACATCACCTCTTCTGTGATGCCTTCCTGCCTCCTGGAGACCATGTGAGCCTGTTGTTCTTCTAAGTCCCGTTGCACCTTATGTATTCATCTATTAGTACATGTGTCACACTAGGCTGTAGATAGCTATTCCCACACTTGTCTTCCCCACTAAGTCTGTGAACACCTCAAGGGTAGGTCTACCTTTGTCATTCCAAGTGTGCATATTTCTAGCACATAATGTCTGGGCTAATAGAGAAACTCAAAACAGAGATCCAGAAAGGTATGTGGGCTTGTCCACGGTCAACAGAGAGCAGCTCACAATAAGGCCACACAGGAGAAAGGCAAGCCTTTCCCATTGCCCACATCCTCATCTCGAGGCCTCACCACTATGCTCCCAGGTCCCTCCTCCATGCTCTTTGGCCCCTATCTCATTATTCCATACCCAGCATAATGCCTGAGACAAAGTAGTAACCAGCTCTTTGTGAAATGAGTGGATGGATGGATGGGTTGATGAGTGGATGGAAGAATATATGACTGTAGTACTCATTCTGGCATCACTTACCACAAGATGGGTCAGGAGTCTCTGAGGGGAAATGTATTCGGTAGCTAAGTTAGAGAGAGGATAAAAGAAGAGGACAGAGTCAGTGCACACTTCAGGATACTCAACCCCCAGCCTCCACTGGCAGCTCCCCGTCAGTACTTTAGACGAGGAGAAAGAGCAAAGAGGAGAGGGAACATCAGTGTCAATGCCACGGGAGCTGTGACATTTTGATTCAGACTAAAACACAAACCATTATATCTTCAGCCTTTAAAAAACACACACACACCAATGGTATGCTGAACAGACATCCTAACTCTAACCCTAAGTCCCACTGGGGTTAAAGGTCAGGGATGGGGTGAGCACAGAGTGAGGCTCAGAGTTAGGGCAAAGGAAGAACTAAGGGTCAGGAGTGTGTGTATTCATGACTTTGTAATTAACAATGTTTGTACATCTTGAATCAAGTGTTTTATAATAAGGAGTGAAGGCAAGAAGGAACTGTGACTTTGAGAGGCATCCCCTTTTCATTCATGAAGCCAAATGGCCTTAAGTAGTTGCCTTACTCTTCCCATCATGGCCCAAGCATGGAACCTACAACCCCATCTCCACCATCCTCTTCATCCTCTTCCCCACAACCATCACCCCTGCAGTGTCTCAGCCAGCCCCCAACTACAACACTCCATGCCCACAAACAGACTTAATTTCACAGTGAGCACCTCTCCACAGGCTGCCCCACCCTTGTACTTACGATCCTGGTGAAAGCTGCTGAGGTAAGGAACCTGTCCCAGGGAACGGGCCTTCAGAGCCATTTGTGTGGCTGCCTTACACAGAGGCACAAAGGCCAAGGTGTTGTTGGGCTCACACACCAACGTGACCAGTTTGGGCAAAGATACCTGGCAGGAGATGTGGCAAGAATTTCAATGCCAAGCCCCAAGTCAGCCCGTCATCAGTCTCCAACCCCAAGACCTTGTCTCCCTTTCTGGACCGAGTATTTGAGGCCTGTATACAGAGCCCCCTTAACCCATTCATATCCATTCTTTCCCTTCTCTCCCTCTTCTTTCTCTCTCTCCCCCACCCCACCCCCAACCCCTCACTGCATGTTGGAAAAGTATAACCAAGGTCCTGATTAAACTTATAGCAGGCATAAGTTGACTTGACAGATGAGGACTTCTTGAAATTTGGAATGTGTGACTTGTAATCACCTTCATTGAGGAACCTTCCAGAGTCAGAGACATGCTGAAGGTCAGGAGGCAGAGCTCACTGGGAGGGAGAGTGAATCTTAAGTCCTTTCCCTCCCACAACACAGCCCTTTCCTCAGCTCTGATGCAAATCAGTTCATATGAGCCTCCCAGAACCCCTGGAGGTTGCTGAGAACAGTCAGGAAATATAACCACCCCCTTTTTAAAAAAAGAAGACACTGCAGCTGGGAGAACAAGTTATTCAAGATTTTACAGCTAGAAAACTGGCTGATCAGGACTCAGACTCTGGCTTCCAAATCCACACCCAGAGACCCTCTTTTGCTGCCCTGAGCACTTCTCAGTGGAACCCCAGGCACTTGTAGGGAATGAAATGCAGGTGGGTTGAGGGGACAGAGACACCACAAGGCATTTGATGGAAGGGGAAAGTGGGAGGCAGTCAGGGGTGGGGGCAGGGTCAGGGTAGTAATCTGGGGAGCCAGGGGAGGAGGAAATGGAGAGGCCTGTTTGGCCCTAGCTGTTTATACCATCTGTAGGATTCTGGAACACATTATTCGGATGTCCTCTTCATTCTAGGATAAGAAAAGGAAAGATTTAAATCTAAAACCAATGCTAGCTAAGTCTCTGGGTTCACAGCCTTCCCTGGCTCACTGCTTAGGGTTTTACAGACCAAAGACCCTTCACATGTGCCAGGCATACCCTCCTGTTTCCCTCCTGCTCCCAACCCTGCCTTCCTCTTGTTCTATCCCCTGAGGTGTGCTCCCATCCTCGGTCCCCTCCCTGCCCAGTCCCTTGCTCACTGATGAGTCAGTCTCCACAAGCTTGATGATATAGCTGATTAGAGTGTTCCCCTGGGGCAAGGCCAAGTAGTTATGCTGACCCAGTATCTCAATGAAGTGCACGAGGAACTTCGGCACCTGTGGAGTCACAGACCATCACATGACAAGACAGAAAGGAATGTCAGGGACTTCCCAGTGTGACCCTCCATAATCCAGGTGAGGACACAGAGGACCAAGGCAGGTGAGGGGATCAGATCTCCTGACACCAAACCCAGTGAGACTCTACAGTGGGCTCTCGATAATGACAGACCGCAAGCCACTAACCCTGACCACTTCTGTACTTTGCCCTGAAGTTCTAACCGCTTCAGCTCCCACCACCTCCATGGAGAACTCTAGTACTTACCTTGCCCTCACCTTATTTCCCCAGAGATATGAAAATTAGCAGGAGTGTGGGATTGGGGGAGAATCTGAGTCCAGGAAAGTCCCATGGTCTGGCCTTCCTAGGGAAAGCCAGGAACAAATCCCACAAGTCCTGAGGGCCCATCCCTCAAGATTCCAAGCTTTCTATTAACCTTCTGAGGATGTATTTTTAGGGATGATGCTATTGTCGTGCATTTGGTACCCCAAACCACTGCTCTCCTCTTCTCCTGTTCCCCTATTCTGTGTGATCCAGAACTGAAGCAGTCTCTGCTGTCTCCAGCCCTGTCTGAAGAGCTTTTTAAAAAATATGGTTTCTCACAAAATATTGAGTCAGCAATTTGAAAGATAAGGTAGCAGAAAACACCTCATTAGAACAGCAAAAAAAAAAGGACCCAAAAAAATGAGGATAGTTTGGGGGCATCTGGGACAATATCATGCATACAAATATTCGTATCATCAGGTGCCAGAAGGATAAGAGAAATAGGAAGGAATTGAAAACTTATTTGAAAAAAATAATGATAGAAATCTTCCCTCACCTGGTAAAGGAAATAGACATACAAGTTTAGGAAGTGCAGAGAGTCCCAAACACGATGAACCCAAAGAGGCCCACACTAAACACATCATAATTAAATGCAGAATGTTCAAGACAAAGAGAGAATCTTAAAAGCAGCAAGAGAAAAACAGTTAGTTACCTACAAGGGAGCTCCCAGCTGATTTCTCAACAGGAACTTTGCTGGCCAGATATATTCAAAGTAATGAAAAGCAAAGACCTACAACCAAAATCACTCTAACCAGCAAGGCTGTCCTTTAGAACCCAAGGAGAGATAAGGCTTCCAAGACAAGAAAAGCTAAAGGAGTTCATCAACACCAAACTAATATTACAAGAAATGTTAAAGGGACTTCTTTAAGGAGAAGAAGAAAGGAATATCAAAAATATGAATAATTAAATGGCAGTAAGTACATATCTATCAACAATTACTTTAAATGCAAATGAATAAAGTGCTCCAATCATGAGACATAGGATGATTGAATGGATAAGAACACAAGATGCTTCCATTTGCAAGAGAGTCACTTCAGGTCAAAAGACACATACACGGACTGAAAATAAAGGGATGGCTAAAGGTATTTCATGAAAATGGTAACAAAACAAAAATAGCTGGAGTACCAATACTTACATCAGACTAAATAGACTTTAAAACAAAGACTATACAGAGAGCCAAAGGAGGACCCAGCAATTTCACTTTTGGATATTTATCTCAAGAAACCCAAAACGCTAAATTGAAAAGACATATACATCCATATGTTTCTTGCAGCATTATTTATAATAGCCAAGATCTGGAAACAACCTATGTGTCCATCAATAGAGGAATGGGTAAAGAAGAAGTGGTACATATATACAGTGGAATATGACTCAACCCTTAAAAAGAATGAAATCTGGCCATTGGCAGAGGGTGTTGTACTGAGTGAAATAAGTCAAACAGATAAAGACAAATGCAATATGATTTCACTTAGTTGTGGAATATAAAAAACAAAATAAATGAACAAGCAGAACTGAGACAGACTCATAGACACAGAAAACATTTTGACAGTTGGCAAATGGGAGGGGAGTGGGTGGATGGATGAAAAGGTGAAGGAATTAAGAAGTACAAATTGGTAATTATACAATAGTCATGGGATGTAAAGTACAGCATAGGGAACATAGTCAATAATTTTGTAATAACTATGCTGGGTGTATACTAGATTTATTGGGGTGATCACTTCATAAGTTATATAAATAAATGTCTAATCCCTAGGATGTACACGTGAAACTAATATAATATTGTATATCAACTGTAATTGAATAAAAATTTTAAAGAAAGAATTTACATATATATATATAGATATATAAAGAAAAGCATATATTAATATATATATATATATATATATATATATATATATATATATATCTTCTCAGACCACATGCAAGATGTGATGTTTCAGCTTCTCTCCCTAACCAAACTGTGAATTCTCTGGGGGGAAAATTAATATCTTTCAGAGCTCCATGTCCCTACTGGGCTCACCACAGTATTGCCCACAGAAAAGGCTCAGAAAATAGGAAGCAACCACCTGTTCACTTCTCAAACCTTTCTCAGGTTTTGACAAGCCCAAATGTAACCCATGGGCAGAAGTCTGAGGCCAGAACTAGATTGGCAAGGGGGCCTTACCTCTCTCTTCATTCCCCCAAACCTCCCCCTCTCCATCTTACCACACCTCAAGTTCTCAAATCAGCAATTGCCCTCCCAGCCCCAACATTCTGCCACTCTGCTCACTGGTTTGAGGTCCTCCTGAATCACCAGAATGGTTGAATTCAGTACCATGCGCTGCAGCTTCTTGGTCTGAGGCACTAGAGGAGAGACAGACATGCGGAGCGGTCAGTCTCCTTCCTCCCCCTTTGTTGCTTTGGGAGGCATGAGAAGACAGACAGCCAGGAGAAATTTTAGATACAGTCCTGCTCTTCAAGGCCAGATCAAACCCAAGATGCTATCTCCACCACCCCTCTGCTTCAAACCAGACTAAAAAGTGACCTAAAACAGTATTTCATCAAGCTAGCACTTGCCCCTCAGAGCTTGCCAGACTCCCACAGCTGACCACACAAGTCTACCTCATTGGCGGAGCTGTTCTGCTCACCCTCTGCCTATCTCAACCTTTAGAACTGCCAGCACTGCTCTTCTGTGTGAATTCCTTTTGCTGACTCAGTCTCCTTTCTACTCTCAGCACAGCTCCTACACAGAGTCTGTCCCATCTCCTGACTGACGCCTTCTCCCTTCCTGTTGCCCATTGCCATCACATTTAAGTAGTTTATCAGCTATTATCCTGTATCCTTTTGCTGTGTGAACAGTCTCATATTCCCTACTTGACTGAGCTCCTCAGAACAAAGACCATATCTTATTTAAGTGTGTAATTTTTGTGCTTCGTACTGTTAGTCACACAGCAATGTTTTGATGGACACTTGATTGAAGTTAAAACCTACAATCCAAGATATGTTTTGTCCTTTAATTCCCACTAAAAATGGCTAAAGGTAAGAATTGATGTTACCTACATTTTTAGTTTTTATAATCCTCACCCAAAGGATATGTTGTTTTTATTTTATTGAAAGAGAGAGAGAGAGCAAGGATATTTCCTGAGAAGATCCCTAGGACCAGGCTGGGTTCCCACTCACATTCCTGGAACACATCTGTGAACGCTTGAAGGGCTGATTCCATCTTGGCTGGATCACTGGATTCCATGGCGGTTAGTAATAGGGATACCATCTGATCCTGGTATAACTTGGCTATTAGAGGGCATGAATAAAGGGAGTCAGGGGTATGTTTAAGTGGGAGGTGGTGTGTAGAAGTAAATCATGCTCACAGCAAACCACTGATGCCATGGGCTGGATAAATAGGGTCTATTAGGTTGGAGAAAGAAGCAGGAAGAAAGAGAGCCAGTGTTTGTCCAGCATTTACCATGTGCCACGCTTGGGGGCAGATGCTTTTCCTAACCTAGGCCTGTCCCTCCCATGCCCCACCATATGATCACCAATTAGGTCAGAACCTCTTTCCTGACCATCAGTGCTCTAATCACAGTATCACCTTTCTGAGCTCAGGATCACCAAAGGAGAACGGGAAGCCAATCCCAGGGGAAGGGAGTGGTAACAAAAGGGATAGGGAAGGGAGAATGTCTGTGCCCTTGGAGATTCATTGAATTTCAGGCAAACTTTACATGGATTACTTTGCATCTTGTCTTAAGGAAAGAAGGCGGTCTTGGGAACCTAGCCTCCCATGGAGTACAAAGTCCCCAGACCCATACCTGGGGTTAGGAAAATGTGTGGACTTACCCATGATGAAGAAAGCCCTCAGGGCGAGGCTGTGGTTCTCCACAGAGTGAGGGTCTGCTGGGTTCACTCGTTCAGAAAGCTGTGGGGAGACCAAGGGCATCAGACCTGGGAGCACTGAAAAGTCTGGGGCTCTGGGCATGGATGGAGAAACTGAGGTATGCAGCCAGAAAAAGTGCGGCACTTGTCCATAAGGAGGATGTGAAAATAGGACCCAGGAATACACCTACACAGCCCCAAAGAAAAGAAGACAGTGGCCAGCAAATATATGGACGGTAACACCTTTAAGCAAAATGTTCAATTGTCCTCTTCCTCCTCTAGGCTACAACACAGAGGGCCTGCCATTTCCCACAGGCCTAATGGGTCGGTTTGGACTCTCTGCCCTTAACCAGTTTAGAGGGAGCAACAATGGCCTCCACCCCCAGAAACATACAGAAATGTATTCAATTTACCTCATAGAGAATATCCACTCTGTGACTAGAATCCAGGCAGGGAAGCCTGAGGTGTGTGCAGTTACGGTCACCATGACAAAAGCCCAGGGCAGTGTGGAGGTAGTGATCTGCTCTGGGGTAACCATCACCTTCAAACAAGAGGGGAAGACCAAGCCCAGGATACCTGCAGCCCCCAGCACTCACCTGCTGGAACAGCATGCCAGTAATGTTTTCCAGCTGGGATTCCAAGTTTATACCTCCGCAGCCGCTGAGCGCCAGAGCATTTACCAGTTGGCAGGTACACTGTGTGTGTAAGGACAGAGTCAGCCACTCAGCCAGCCCTTGCCACAGCCTCAAAGGAAAGCCTCTGTCCTCAGATCTCCTCTCAGAGGTGGCCCAATATCACAGTTCACACTGCCCTCTTGGACCTTTTCAAGAAGGCCCAGGGGCTAGTTTTTCCATAGCCAAATACAGCCATGACCTGTTCTTCCTCCTCACCCAAGAAGCTACACTTACTTTCAAATAACCTCATTATTTCACGGTAACTGTTAGAGCAACTCAACATGGCAGGTGTTGGCTGACTTCAAAGAAATAGGATAAAGAAATCATGGTCAAAGAAAGAACTGGTTCTATTTTCTGACTTTCAAAATTCGGAAAACCACGTTTTAAAGCCTAAATATCTATCCTTTACCTAGTGAATTGTATTGTTTTATGTTTTTACTAGAGGCCAGGTGCACAAAAATTTGTGCACTTGGGGGGGGGGGGTCCCTCAGACCGGCCTGTGCCCTCTCCCAGTCTGGGACCCCTCCGGGATGACCACCTGCTGGCTTATGCCCACTCCCTGGGGGAATGGGGCCTAAGCTGGCAATCAGACATCCCTCTGGCAGCCTGGCTGCCCTAGGGGGATGTCCACTTGCCAGCGGGGAGCAGACCTAAGCTGCATTTGGACATCCTTAGCGCTGCTGAGGAGGCAGGAGAGGCTCCCACCACCACTGCTGTACTGGCAGCCATCAGCCTGGCTTGTGGCTGAGCAGAGCACCCCCATGTGGGAACTAACTGACCACCAGAGGGCAGCTGCTGGATTGAGCATCTGCCCCCTGGTGGTCAGTGTGTGTCATAGTGACCAGTCATTCCCAGTCTCTCTGCTGTTAGGGTCAGTTTGTATATTACCCTTTTACTATATAGGATAGAGGCCTGGTGCACGGGTGGGGGCCGGCTGGTTTGCCCTGAAGGGTGTCCCAGAACAGGGTGGGGGTCCCACTTGGGTGCCTAGGTGAGGGACTGATGTCTGTTTGTAGCTGGTCACACCCCCTTCAGGGTGGGGGTCCCCACTGGGGTGCCTGGCCAGTCTGGGTGAGGGGATGAGGGCCGTTTTCAGGCTGGCCAGCGACTGAAGCTCCCAACCTCTCCTTTTTTTTTTCCTTTTTTTTTTATTCTGGGATTTATTTACCTTCTAAAATTGAAACTTTGTTGCCGTCCTGCTCGCTCTAGACCTGAGGCTGCAGCTGGCTGAAAGCAGTTATCTGGGGTTTGTTTAGCTTCTATAATTGAAACTTTGTTGCTTTTGGAGCTGTTGCTTTCGGAGCTCAGAGCCGGGCCACTGCAGGCGGGGAACCTTGGCTTCCTCCATCACTGGAGCAAGCAAGCATCCTGCTCGCTTCAGCTGCGTGGCTGCCGGCCGCCTTCTTTATTGGCAGTTAATTTGCATATCTTGCTGATTAGCGAATGGGAAGCATAGCGGAGGTACGGTTAATTACCCCTTTTCTCTTTTATTAGATAGGATTCTTCTCACTTGTATGAGAAGCTGCAAATAGCCTTAGTTTTCACATGTGTAAACTGTACATTTTATTTTATTTTTTATTTTTTTAAATCTTTATTGTTCAGATTATTACAGTTGTTCCTCTTTTCCCCCCATACCTCCCCTCCACCTGGTTCCCACCCCACCCTTTGCCCTTACCACCCCCTCATCCTCATCCATAGGTGTGCGATTTTTGTCCAGTCTCTTTCTGCACCCCCACACCCCTTTCCACCCGAGAATTGTCAGTCCACTCCCTTTCTATGCCCCTGATTCTATTATAATCACCAGTTCATTCTGTTCATCAGATTATTTATTCACTTGATTCTTAGATTCACTTGTTGATAGATGCGTATTTGTTGTTCATAATTTGTATCTTTACCTTTTTCTTCTTCCTCTTCTTAAAGAATACCTTTCAGCATTTCATACAATACTGGTTTGGTGGTGATGAACTCCTTTAGCTTTTTCTTATCTGTAAAGATCTTTATCTGACCTTCAATTCTACATGATAGCTTTGCTGGGTAGACTAATCTTGGTTGTAGGTTCTTGCTATTCATCACTTTGAATATTTCTTGCCACTCCCTTCTGGCCTGCAAAGTTTCTGTTGAGAAATCAGCTGACAATCGTATGGGTACTCCCTTGTAGGTAACTAGGGTTTTTCTCTTGCTGCTTTTAAGATTCTCTCTTTGTCTTTTGCTCTTGGCATTTTAATTATGATGTGTCTTGGTGTGGTCCTCTTTAGATTCCTTTTGTTTGGGGTTCTCTGCACTTCCTGGACTTGTAAGTCCATTTCTTTCACCAGGTAGGGGAAGTTTTCTGTCATCATTTTTTCAAATAGGTTTTCAATATCTTGCTCTCTCTCTTCTTCTGGCACCACCATAATTGGGATGTTGGTATGGTTGAAGTTGTCCCAGAGGCTCCTTACACTATCTTCATTATTTTTGGATTCTTTTTTCTTTTCTGGTTGGCTGTTTTTTACTTCTTCATACTTCAAATCCTTGACTTGATTCTTGGTATCCTCTAGTCTGCTGTTGGATCTCTATATAATATTCTTTATTTCAGTCAGTGTATGCTTAATTTCTAGTTGGTCCTTTTTCATATCCTTGAGGGTATCACTAGACTTATTGACTGTCTTACTAAATTTATCGATGCTCTCACTAGAATTATTGAGGGTCTTACTAAATTTATCAGCAGTTTCTAGAAAATTCTTGAAAAACCTGAAAACCGTGGTTTTGAACTCTATATGTAATAGTTTGCTTTCCTCCATTTCTGTCATTTGTGACCTGTTTCTTTGTCTCCACATTTTTTATGCTTCCCTGTGTTGATAGAGTGGCTTTCTGTGCTGGGTGCCCTATAGGGCCCAGTGGCTCAGCCTCCCCAATAACCTGAGGTGGACACTCTTGGTGCACCCCTTTGTGGGCTGTGTGCACAGTCTTGTTGTAGTTAAGCCTTGATTGTAGTTGGTATCACTGGGAGGAATTGAACTCCAGGCCAATTGGCTGTGAGATTCAGCTGTGTCTACGATGGGAGAACTTCTATGCTGGAGACATCCTTGTGGGGCAAGACTTGTTTCAGTGGGGCTTTGGTGCTCACTGAGTCTGCCCCCTGAGTGTGTCCCTTATGGATCTGAGGAGTTGTAATCTGGATGGTCCCACTCTGACCACTGGGTACACTGGCACTTGGATCTCTAAGGAGGTGCTAATTTAGCCTCTGCCTGAGGCTACCCAGCAGGAGCTATGGAGAGATCTGCAGATTCCTCTGCTTTGTTTGGGATTTGGAGGTGCCCAGATGAGGCCCAGCTGTGAAGCAATGCAGTCTGCTGTGGGGCCTTGGGCCTTCTTTTGGATGATCTGGATCTCTCTGACCCAGCTGCAGTTTGTTAGGTAATTTTAGATTGCAAAGGGCTATGGCATTCTAATGCAAAAGCCTCTGCACACAGCTTGGATGGAGCATGGGTCCAGGTAATCAACAGGGTGGAGCAAATAACTATGGCTGATCCTCAGCACTGCCCTAAGAGGTCCCGGGTCTCAGTGGCAGGGGTAATCGCTGCAAGCACCTCTGAGAGAAAGCCGCCCTTGAGTTCTCCCCCTGTCAGACAGTCCAGTTTCTCCCCGTATGAGTCTGGGTATCCAGAGACTCTCCCGGAACTGGAGTCAGGGCCGTCGGGAGCTTGAGTCTCCCCCCAACTGAAAAAAACAACCGAGTCCTCAGTTGCCAGCCCTTTCAGTGTGCGCCTCCGTACCTCTGCACTTTACTTCTGCACCTCCTCTGAGTCTCAGTGTGCTTTTCTCTTTCCTTCTAGTTGTAGAATTTCCACTCAGCCAGCCTTCCTGTGGTTCTGGATGATGTCCGTTTTGTCTTTTAGTTGTATTTTTTTATTATTATTAAATCTTTATTGTTCAAATTATTACATTTGTTCCTCTTTTTTCCCCCCATAGCTCCCCTCCACCCAGTTCCCACCCCACCCTCCGTCCTCACTCCCCACCCACTGTCCTCATCCATAGGTGCACGATTATTGTCCAATCTCTTCCCGCACCCCCCACACCCCCCCCCCCCCAAGAATAGGCAGGCCATTCCCTTTCTATGTCCCTGATTCTATTACAATCACCAGTTCATACTGTTCATCAGATTACTTATTCACTTGATTTTTAGATTCACTTGTTGATAGATGTGTATTTGTTGTTCATAATTTGTATCTTTACCTTTTTCTTCTTCTTCCTCTTCTTAAAGGGTACCTTTCAGCGTTTCATATAATACTGGTTTGGTGGTGATGAACTCTTTTAGCGTTTTCTTATCTGTGAAGCTCTTTTTTTTTAATATATTTTATTGATTTTTTTTTCAGAGAGGAAGGGAGAGAGATAGTCAGAAACATCGATGAGAGAGAAACATCGATCAGCTGCCTCCTGCACATCCCCCACTGGGGATGTGCCCGCAACCCAGGTACATGCCCTTGACCGGAAACGAACCTGGGACCTTTCAGTCCGCAGGCCGACGCTCTATCCACTGAGCCAAGCTCTCCTTGCACCCCCAGGGGAAGGGCTGGACAGATTTGTCTCTGGTTCCGGAGAGCCTTCATTTTTGTCATCCGTTATCCAGTCTCTCACCACCGATAGCAGAAACTGTTTATACTTCATTTTTGCTTGAGGATTGAGGACGTTGTACACTCTAAATGAATTGAAAAGTCCACAGTTTATAAGGTACAGCACTACTTTTTTTGTCCATTTCATCGTTTTTCTTAGAATGGAACAACACGAAAGAAAGTGTATCAGTTTCGTTGGTTTCCTTCCTTTTTCTGAAAGAAAGCATTATTAAAAGTGCCAGGAACTTGAAGACGAAGACTATTCGAATGACCAAAATACAATGTAACTGCAATGCTTTATGGGTTTGTGTAATTATATAGTTTTTCGTAGATTGACATGCACGG